TCAGACCTCAGCTCAGAAGGCTTTCTGATCATGCGATCCAAGAAAGTTGTCCCTTCTTCACATTACGCTTGCACAGGACTTATCACTCTGAAAATAATCTTAGTGATGTATCTATTTACTTGGTTTTTAAAATATATTTTACTAATTATTCATAAGAGACACAGAAGAGAGAGACAGAGACACAGGCAGAGGGAGAAGCAGGCTCTATGCAGGGAAGCCAATAAGGGACTCAATCCCAGAACTCCAGGATCACGCCCTGAGCTGAAGGCAGATACCCAACCGCTGAGCCACCCAGGCATCCCTATTTACTTATTTTTAATTTATTTCTTTCCACCAGTGTGTAAACCCCATGAAAATGGAAGCCTTGCCTGTTTTGTTCACCACAGAATCCTCAGAGCTCAGAATAATGCCGACACACAGGTGGATGTTTAATAAATAATTGTTGAATTAAATGTCTATTCTTAGAATGACTAGATAGTATTAAGTGTAAACCATGTTTTCTATTTTCAAAGGGGTTTAGACAGATGTATTTGGATCTTCATTGGATATGTTTAAACCTAAAAACTTGCTATTCATTGTAATGTCCAAAATAAAAAAAATTTAAATAATATTAATAATAACAGTATATTTTTTTTCTTCTCAAGTTCTTCATTTTGGTTTGACATATTCAAAACTAATTTAAATTAAAAAGAAGGGAGGGGGTGCCTGGGTGTTTCAGTCAGTTAAGAATCCAACTTTTGATCTTGACTCAGGTCTTGATCTTAGAGTGGTGAGTTCAAAGCCCCACATTGGGCTCCATGGTGGGTGTGGAGCCTACATAAAAATTGAAAAGTAAAAAAATTAAAAAAGTAGGAAATATATGAAACGAAAATAATTTTTAAATGGATGATAAGGGAACACCTGGGTGGCTCAGCGGTTTAGCGCCTGCCTTCAGCCCAGGGTGTGATCCTGGAAACCCGGGATCTTATATGTCCCCTGTCACACTCCCTACAGGGATCCTGCTTCTTTCTCTGCCTGTGTCTCTCATGAATAAATAAATAAAATCTTAAAAAAAATAAATACATGGATGATAGGCCTAAGTGTAAAAGCTAAAATTATATATATATATATATAAAAGTTTTGGAAGAAGACATAGATGACATTAGGGCAGCCCGAGTGGCTCAGCGGTTTAGCCCTGCCATCAGCCCAGGGCCTGATCCTGGGGACTCAGGATCGAGTCCCATGTCGGGTTCCCTGCATGGAGCCTGCTTCTCTCTCTGCCTGTTGTCTCTGCCTCTCTCTCTCTCTCTCTCTCTTTGTGTCTCTCATGAATAAATAAATAAAATCTTAAAAAAGAAGGCATGGATGACATTAAATAAATAGATAAAAGAAGGCATAGATGTAAATCTTTGTGATATTGGTTTAGGCAAAGTCTTGTTAGATACGACAATAAAAATACAAGTGACAAAAGAAGAATAGGAAAATTGGACTTTATCACAAATTAAAAGTTTTTCTGCTGTAAAAGTTACTAATAAGAAAGTGAAAAGTCAGCCCACAAATAGGATAAAACATTTTCAAATCAAATAACTGATAAGGCACTTGAAATCTGGAATATATAAAGAATTCTTACACCTTGATTATAAAAAGATAAATATACCAATTAGAACCTGAATAGATTTTCTCCAAAAAAGATACAAAAATGGCCAATTAATACATGAAAAGATGGTCAATATCACTAGCCATTAGGGAAATACAAATCAAAGCTCCAGTAGATAGCACTTCACTGTCACTAGGATGGCTATAATAAAAAAGACAGACAAAGCAAGCAGTAGTGAGGATGTGGAGAAATTAGAACCCTCATAATTGTTGGTGGGATTGTAACATGGTACAGCCTCTTTGGAAAACAGTTTGGCTCTTCAAAATGTTAAATGTAGAGCTACCATATAACCCAGCAATTCCGTTCCTAGATATACATACAAAAGAAATGAAAACATGCCCACACAAGCCCTGTAAACAAATATTCTCAACAGCATTACCCATAATAGCCAAAAAGCAGAAACAGCTCAAATGTCTGTAACTGGCAAATGGATAATTAAAATGTAGTCTATCTGTGTAATGGAATATTATTCATTCAAAATAAAGTACTGATACTACTATAAGTGAATCCAGAAAACATGCTAAGTGAAAGAAGCCACTCACAAAAAACCACGTTATATAATTCTATTTATGAGATGTCCAGAATAGGTTAAACCTATGAGACAGAAAGTGGATTAGTGGTTGCCTAGAGCTGTGGGTGGAGGGAATGGGGAATGACTGTTAATTGGTATTGGTTTCTTTTGGGGGTAATAAACATGTTCTAAAATCAGCGAGTGGTGATAGTTGCATAACTCGGTGAGTATACCAAAAACCTTTGAATAGTACCCTTTAGATAGATGAGTTATATAGGGTATATGAATAATATCTCGATAAATCTCTTTTTAAGAGTACAGTGCAGGGGAATAAAAGGAAGGGAAGTTTAAAATTAAGAGGATCAAACTTCAAAGTAAGTTTGAGTTGGCAAAATAGTGTAATATTTCTATTTTTAGCTTTGATATTCTAACTTTAGCAAGAGCGTAGACTTGCAATTTTATACTTAGCATTGCATTCTCAGATACAGAGGACTTGCCCTTTTCTTCACAAGTATCACCTCTATTGCTTTTGTTTTAAAGATGCATAATGTATTTAGAGTACACTAAATATTAGAGTCTTTTATTTACACTTATGTGGTGCCTATATCTAGTGTCCCCAAAGTATTATAATAATAGTTTTACTTTGCTAAAAGGTAATAGCAATATAAAGATGAAAGACTTTGTTCCCTCTGCCATTTCCCTCACAAGTAGAACAGTTGGATGCTCAGACTGTGAGATCAGACTGCTTGAATTGTTTCAGACAAGGTGAACTTGGGAGAGGCACAAACCTCAGTTTCTCTACCTGTAAATGATACTATTTACTTCATAATGTCGTTCTGAGAATTAAAGGAAATAACACATATGTGGAACTTAGCACAAGATGTCAAGAACATAGTAAATGCTCAAACTGCAGGAATTGTTAGCATTTATTTTTAATTTAGCAATAGCAAAAAGGGATTGAGATTATTAAGAAATGGGTAAAAAGTTGTAATGCGGCTGAGAATTGAGTATTACGATTCTAAAAATGAGGACTGGAAGGACGTATAATATTCTTACTCTCAGTTTTGTTAAAATTAGGTAACTATTCAACATTAATCAAGATATTTGAATAGTTTTAAGCATTTACTGCTAGAAAACTCTTTGGAGAGCTTGCTAAAGCTAAAGCTGTGAAGCTGCATGAATATTTTTCAGAGAACAATATGTGATTCAAGCATTGCTACAGAGACCTGATATTTTAGGCTACATTTCTAATCAGTGGTATCTTATCACTTGTCACTTAACAACTCAAGCCTTTGAGTAACAAATCTCCCAAGAAGTCTCCTTTCCTCCTCCCTTGAGGTTTACTCAGTCGATATTTTTCGCTATGGAGAGTAGCAGGAACTTCTTTTTTTAAGGACTATTTTAACTTCTTAGAAGAAGGAAACATGAGTGAAAATAATTACTTATGAAATAATAACTGATTGTGAATGTGAAAGAATTGCCATTTTGAGCTTTATTTGTATACTTTAAAGGTGGGCTTAAAAAAAAAAAGTGGGCTTTAAAACTTTCCCAGATTAACCGAAATTCCAGGAGATAAGAAAGGGAGAGAAGGAAGTTGAAAATACCTTGAAATTTCTCCCCTTTTCCCCCAAAACTTATTCTTATTTTTATATTAATAGGTAAAATTCTCTGAGGAGCACAAGTAAACCTCAGAAACTCATAGCCACACAATTCCTCTAAATGGGGCTTATCTGTAAGTATTCTTATTGTAATAACACTTGACAGTCATAAAGATCTGTTTGGGGAAACCAGGGATCTATACATAAGATAAAAATCGCTAAGGATAGTCCTACCCCACTGCCTAGCTTGTGGTAACAGTGGGTAAGTTAGTAGGAGTGTTACCAAATATGTTTGAATATGCACTGACATCATCTATTGCCGTACTGGACCTTAATATTCCCAACTAATATCAATACTTTTAGTAACGGCAATTAATTTGCTGACATATTTTCCCTACCCTCATTGCATCTCTCGGCACCCTCACACACTCGGATGCCTTAAAACGTTTCTTGAGCACGTTTTACTAACACCTAATCCTTGGCTTCCCGGACGCTAACGGACAATTGGATTGACTTCAGAAAGTGTTCCTACAAACAGTGCTTTTCGAGGCTTGCCCTCTGTCTAGTTAGTGCCGCACTGTTAGGAGTTAGCTGCGATGAAAGCACCCATCGCAACACTCAGGAAAGGCGCGCAACACCGCCCTGGGATACAGTTCAACTCGTCTCTGATTAATTGTGCTAACCGAGTTCGTGTCCCCGCGAGAGAAACCGTATTCCTCCTCACACTGAACAGAAGAGTCTCGACTATTCATTATTGGCGGTGCCAGAGGGCGACTCCAGGACCTGGGCAGCTAGGGACTGGGAACGGATCGGGACCTGCCTCCGCGAGGCCCGCGGGGTACCTCAGCAACACCCCAGCACTAGAAGTTTGTAAAATCTGGAGTCACCTTGACCCACCCCCGGAGGTGAGGAAAGTTAGTCCTGGACTGGAGACGGGGTGAGTAAAACCAGAGACAGAGAACTTTCGCGAGCGAAAAACGCCGTCACGTTTTCCTGTTTTCGGTGTAGCTCAAGACCCAGAGAGTTTAAGGGTGGCTGGAGCAGGTGGCACGACTCCGCCCACCACCGCGCTTCCACTCCCTCTGCTAGCACGCTCCACTCCCTCCGGGAGGTCCCGCCTCTTAGGCGCGCGCGAAGAATTGTCACGCCACGCATCCTGGGAATTGTAGTCTTGGCGCCGCGGGCCGCCTCAGGAGAAGCGACTCTGGCCTACATACCCCATAGTGCCGTGCGGCGCTGGCCGCTCCCGGATGTGTGCCTGGCGCCGGAAGAGAAGCCGGCCCCCCTCTCTCGGCCCGGCCATCTTGTGGGAAGAGCTGAAGCAGGCGCTCTTGGCTCGGCGCGGCCCGCTGCAATCCGTGGAGGAACGCGCCGCCGAGCCACCATCATGCCTGGGCACTTACAGGAAGGCTTCGGCTGCGTGGTCACCAACCGATTCGACCAGTTATTTGACGACGAATCGGACCCCTTTGAGGTGTTGAAGGCAGCAGAGAACAAGAAAAAAGAAGCCGGCGGGGGCGGCGTTGGGGGCCCTGGGGCCAAGAGCGCAGCTCAGGCCGCAGCCCAGACCAACTCCAACGCGGCAGGCAAACAGCTGCGTAAAGAGTCCCAGAAAGACCGCAAGAACCCGCTGCCCCCCAACGTTGGCGTGGTTGACAAGAAAGAGGAGACGCAGCCGCCCGTGGCGCTCAAGAAAGAAGGTAAAGCTGTGGTGGAAGGTGGAGGAGCCCGGGATGGAGGGAAGGAGCGAGGGGGACTTGCGGCTACCACTTGCTTTCGGAGTTCCGAGGGCCCGCGGGAGACTTGGCCGCCGATTGCCTCCCATTTCTCCTCACGCTACAAAAGCCAGGTCCCGCGAAGGTGCCGGGAGCGTGGTAGCCCCAAGTTGAAGCCACCTGCGAGGCTCCTGGAGTCACCCCCTTCCCGCCTCATTTTCTGAGCGGAGGAGCGTGCTCCGGAGATAAGCTGCTGCTGCTCGAGCGCGCTGGCTGCCCTGGGAGGCTGTTGCCTTCCCGCCGGATTCCTTGGCGGGCAGGCGCGGCGACCGAGATCTGGGCGAGCTGGCCACTGACTGAAGCATTTGCAGTTACGGGCAAGCGTGGGGTCCACGGCCCCTTCCCACTCGGAGCTCGCTCTCGGCGTGCTGCTTTGAGGTGCGCTTGGCTTCTCTCCTGCCATCTTGTCCCACGAGGGCGCGCGGAGTACCCCCCAGTGAGACGCCGGGGGTCCGAGTGCACCTGACCTCGTTCTGGGTTCTGTGGAGTGAGCTACGGCTTCAGGTGCCCCATGTGCCTTGTAGCCCCTCTCCTCCCTTCAACTCGTAAGAACAACTAACTTGCTGGAGCGAATTAAGCTTTTGAGAAGACAGATGTGCTTACACTGTGGTAAGCAGAAGCGGGAATTCTGAACGAAGACTGGTTATTGCAGGAAATCCTGAGCTCGTCCTCTCTCCCCGACACCCCACCCCACCCCACCCCACCCCACCCCCTCACTCAATATTTCATGTGGTGGCCCGGCCGGGGCCTCGTGGTGAATTGAGTGCAGAGGCTGTCACAACGTTAGTTAGCCCCAGCAGAGCGCTTTTGAATCTGTAGCTTTTTTTCTCCACATGTGCGTGAAGCATGGTCGGGATTCATTGGCGGGTAATAGTTGTTTCCAGAGGTCACTGTAAACTTCACAGGGTTGTCTTGAGGTTGATTTCTGCATTCTCCTATTGCTGGTTTGCCTTCTGTGTGGACAAAAAAGCAAAAACAGTTGGAGGATGAAACTTGTACCCGATCAGCTCCGGAACTTTAAAGTTGCCTTTTTATGTTAAAAGTTGAAATTACCTTTTACTGCCACGTGCTCCTGAAAGAAGTTGTTTCTCATTAGTTTTAGTTGAATTTTGTAGCATGCAACTAATTTTCAGAATCACCAATTGTGTTAGGTTTTGGCTTAAGTTTGTTTGTTTTTTTTAAATACAGAACTTCTGTGATGCTTGGAATGAAGAACCTATGATGAATAAAACAAAAATAATTAATTCTTGTATCAAAATTACAGGTTGGGGAAAAGCAGAAGTTGGGAGTGTTGGAAAGCTGGGTGTACTTCATTTAGACCAAATATCTATTCAGTCATCTTAAGTTTTAAAGCAACCTGTAGCACAGCTAAATAATTATTTAATTTCTGCGTTAAGGGACACAGGCCTGTGTTAATTATTATTGCTCAAGTTTACCTCCTTGATCTCATTAATCCAAAAAAGTGCCTGAAAACGTTGAGCCTAATGTATAAATCTTAAGTGTACCAGGTAGATGTGTTTCACCCATTTTGAATGTTTAAAGCATGAAACCTGGTTTAAACCCCTCAGTTGTTTTGATCATAAAGCCCATCTTGGAGGAGGTAAGCGCTTAACCTGGGACCTAGTATTTTAAATTACAAAGGTGGAGAATTATTATATGAGTTTATAACCAGAATGGAGTTCACCATTTAGTACTCTTTCCTTGGGAAAACTTCCATATTAGCTATCAACGTCTTCCTTAGATCAGCAATACATAGCAGTCTTGCTCTTCAATTGCAGAAAACATAGTCTTAAAAATAAAAGGGAAATGTTGAATGAAAAAGATTTTTTTCAGACCCTACTACCTGTCAGTTGATGTTCGGGGCATTGGAGAAGGATAGACCTGTAAAAAGTCTCTCCACTTCGTGCAGTGGGAAAAATTGCTACCTGCTTATGTGATCTTTGCCTTTGAATATTGGTCCTGGCAAATGCTAGACATACCTTAGATACAGTATTTAACGTGATAGGAGTTTTGTCTTTTGTCCATTTGAAGAACTGACACCACAGAATGTCATCGCTAAAAATGTAGACCAAGGCGTTTTTAAATTTTGTTTTTTGTTTTTTTCCGAAGCCTGGAATTGACTGAAAATCCAGTGAGTTTGCAAGTACATACAAGTAGGTTAAGAGAAGCTTGAATTTTTAAATGTCAGTCATTGGGTGAAATTATTTAGTAAATTTTTTTAGGTTCTGTTAGCATAATAGTGAAATTGGGTGAGGAAGGAAGCCATTGTTCATTTGGGTGTGTTTGGCTTGGATATCATTGTAAGGACTGGTTCCATAGCTCCACCCCAATACACTATACCTATGACAACATTTGTTTAAGATGCCTTAAGATCTAATATTTATGGTTTATCCTGAGAGTTTATGTGGAATGGACCTTAAAATTTCATTTAACAGTTTGATATTTACCATTTGACTTTAGTTACAAGCAACTGTATGATGGGATATATACTGATGATGGGTTACTTTCTTAGAAGGAATCAGAGTGAGTCAACTTAAGATCTTGCTATAAAATCAATTCCTCAGCTGCTTTTTGACTGTGTAAGAAATTATGGTTTGGGAGTTAGAACATACCTGAAATTTTACAGTCATGAACTTATTTACTTCAGGCCAACGATAATGCATGTTGGTTGCCTTTGTGGGCCTCAGATACCAACAGGAAAAAATGATACAGGAGGAAATCAGTAAATGCATCAGCCATCACTTAGTGCCACAAGTTTCTATTGCTTAAATACTGTTTTTAAAGGGGGGTCTGTGTGTGTGTGTGTGTGTGTGTGTGTGTGTGTGTGTGTGTGTGTCTGTGTGTGGCTTTTAAAGATTCTTTTGAAACCTACCTCTTAGGGCAAAAAAAAAAAGCTCTCTAATAAACAACTGAACTATTTTCTAGTGGTTGCATAGCATTATGTTTTATTTAGTGCATGTGTATGAATATGGGTAGAAACATGTGAATACATATATAAAAACTAATAGAGGAAAACAATACTTTTTTCTGGTTAATTAGTTATTTGAAACTATGGAGATCTAACCTTCAGTGCTATTTGTTTTCCTTTCAGTTTTGTAATTTCATAGAATTATCACTTTTTACTGTAGTTTATTTCCTTCAGATCATGTAAATAGTGTGGCCTTCACTTTTTCTGAGAGTCCTTATCTGATGAGTATGTTGATTTCCTTGGGTATTACTAATGAATGGCCAGTGGTGTTAATCTTTTTTAATATCTTTAAAGCCAAAATGTATCATACACCTAAAATTCCTTAAAAGTCAGAATTTTAAATTAAGACACTGGCATCTTGTGATGGGGAATAGTGGCTACCCTGATGACTTTCAAGTCAGTTACAGGTAGGGGAGGCATGATTTGGCAAACTAAACCAAGTTTGAAACAAGTTTGTTGTCTTTAATAGGAATTTCTTAGGTACTTTGTTATATTTTATAGAGATGCCCAGTTTTTGCCTTTTTCAGCAGCAAGTGCTCCTTACTGGATTAAAAGAATGGCTTTTTTTTTTTTTTCATCTTTTAGTAGTCTGCCTAGTTTTTTTTGTTTTGCAAAAATAATTTGCTTATGCAGGTTATTTATCATTTCAGGAATAAGACGTGTTGGAAGAAGACCTGATCAACAGCTGCAGAGTGAAGGGAAAATAATTGATAGGAGACCAGAAAGGCGACCACCTCGTGAACGACGATTTGAAAAGCCACTTGAAGAAAAGGGTGAAGGAGGAGAATTTTCAGTTGATAGGCAAGATCTTTTTAATCTCTTCATGTTTTGTCAGTTTATAGAGTCATACCTTAACGCAAAGCTATAAATTGGGCATAATTAGCAAGGTAGCAGTGTGGCTGTTACATTTATCAGTTTTTCAGAGAAATATCTGAGTGGATGCATCATTGTTCCACTAAGAACGTTTTAGTATCAATTTTTTGTGTTCAGTCTTGGATTTCTTGTAATGAAACACTTCAGTTGAATGAATGGACAATTTCTTTTCCTTGTCATCCCCAGTTAGCAGGAGAGCCCTTCCTGTTGGGGAACTATTTATAGCAAAACACTACTCATATTATGCATGTTGTGTTTATTTTAATTTTGAAGTGTATTAGTGAGGTGTAGTGGTTTTACTGGATTATAACATGAATAATCATGGGAAAGTTATGGGCACTAGTAGTGAAGTTTCAGAGAAAGCAAAAATGTTCTTGTTTGGGGGGAGCTTCCTGCTCCTGATTTCTTTTATGTGTTTAGAAGTAGATTGTTTTGAGTTTTCTTTTTCTTTTAAGTTTTACTTTTTTGAGAGACGAGCAAGGGGAGAGGCACAGGGAGAAGGAGAAGCAGACTCCCTGCTGAGCAGGGAGCCCACCCAACACAGGGTTCCATCCCAGGACTCTGGGATCATGAGCTGAAGGCAGATGCTCAAAGGACTGAACCGCCCAGGCTCCCCTGTTTTAAATTTTCTAAAACATGTGTTTAACTGTTAATTATTAGCCAGTAAATATGTTTTTACATTTGAGCCTTTGGATGCATTTTCTCTTTTTTCCCCCCCTTCCTGAAAACCTTGGAAATATATCTTTTATTTGTTATAGACCGATTATTGACCGGCCTATTCGAGGCCGTGGTGGCCTTGGAAGAGGTCGAGGAGGCCGCGGACGTGGAATGGGCCGAGGAGATGGATTTGATTCTCGTGGCAAACGTGAATTTGATAGGCATAGTGGAAGTGATAGATCGTAAGTCTTATATTGGTTTTTATTGTTTTTACATTGGAATTTACTTCTTTAATAAAACAAAATTTGAGTTTCTAGAATTAAAGAGTATTATGTTAACTCAGTTTTGTTAGTTCTTTTTCACATTACAGTGGCCTGAAGCATGAGGACAAACGTGGAGGTAGCGGATCTCACAACTGGGGAACTGTCAAAGATGAATTAACGTTGGTATTCTGATTTTTCTGAATAAATAACTTTTAAATAAGATTGATTCTATGCTTTATTAGAGTTTTAGAGTTTAACCATAACTCTTATATTTTACTTGTCCCCAGGACAAGAACAAATGCTCTCATCTCAGAGCTACTTCCTTATAATACCTTGTTGGATATGTTTGAGTACAATATGTCATATGACAAATTTTTCTACATTACGATACACATGAATTTTTCTTTTCATATGGCTATATAGCTTTTCCTGAAACCTTACAATTTAAGTTATTTGGGTATTCTGATTCTCTGTGTGCTTTTAGTAGTTCCTATTGTAGCAATTGGCCCTATGGTCATTAGAAGAATTTGATAGGCTGGGGAAGTTTTGTTTTAGAGGAAGCTACTCTGTCCTGCTACTTTCTAAATCAAATACTTGAACTATAGTTTGGATCAGAATGTATTTTTAAATTATTTTTTCTTAGAGGTCTACTGGGAAGTAAGTTTAGTAAGAAAAGGGTCTTAGGGAATGTGAGGATTTTAAATATGTAAAAAGAATCCTTAAGCTACATGTAAATGGACCTAGCTGCTTTTCTCTTTCTTTTTTCCTTAGAGAGTCCCCAAAATACATTCAGAAACAAATATCTTATAATTGCAGTGACTTGGATCAATCAAATGTGACTGAGGAAACACCTGAAGGTGAAGAACATCCAGTTGCAGACACTGAAAATAAGTAAGTGGTTTTACGGGTAGTGGTTTTATGTATGGTTTTACTCCATAGCATTGGAAGTAGTTTGGGTTTTTACCAAGAAAATAACATAGATTTAATGCTATTATTTGGTGTCTTTTAACATGAGACTTGTACCCCTATTCCTCAAATAGTATCTATTTAGAGGAGTGCTTTACACATTCAGTTTATTGGGCTATGTAACGGTTTGAAAAATAGAATGGTTATTTCTATTTGAAAATACCATTGTTATCTCTGAAAAGATAAGGAATACATATTTAAGTGTGATACCTGTTTGCCATAAGAACAAAAATTAACTATTTAACCTGAGAATTGGGAGTAAGAATAAGTTGTCCTGCATTTTACTTAGCTATACTTTACTTGGTAGAGAAGTTGTAATGAATAATCCTGGTGACGATGGCTGTCCAGACTCTGAATAAGTGGGAACTAGAAGCTGAAGTTGGGGATTTCTAAAAATGTGACCAAATGGTTGACATAAGAGAAATTATAGTATTTATTTATTTAAAGGTTTTATTTATGTATTGTATGTATGTATGTATTTATTTATTTGTTTATTTATGTGGGGGGGGCAGAGACATAGGCAGAGGGAGACGCAGACTCCCCGCAGGGGAGCCCAATGCAGCGCTCTATCCCAGGACCCCAGGATCACACCCTGAGCCAAAGACAGACACTAACCGCTGAGCTACCCAGGCATCCCCTTAAGCAGCCAGGTGTCCAGAGAAATTATAGTATTTAGAATACATAGTTCAAAGTCCTTTGAACTTTATATAAATTCTATTCTGAGACAGTTTAAACCAGAAGATGTGACCTTTTTAAAATTTCTCTGGAATTTTTTTTCTTTCCATCAACATAGAATTTGGAACATAGCATTATTGGCTTGTTTTAAAATGTATGGGGAGAGCAAAAGGCCAGAACATGTTATCAATTCACTGGCTTTTCTTTTCTTAATCCTTTTCATTTCCTGAGTTTTTAGGTATAAGATTTGGTTTTGAAGTTTCTATTCAAGGGTGGAAGACTTGTAATGATACAAATTATTCTGGTAGAAGTGATTTAATGCCTTCCTCTAGTTTCCATCAACCCAGGCAGAAATTCTATGCCAGTCATTTCTTACAGTATTATGGTTTAAAGTATTGAATTACCAGTTATTGAGGGCCTGTAACTCTTAACTGGAGGATATTTAAATTAGGGGATTCTTTGCTTTTTCTCCAAGAATTACTCCTACAGTGAACCATTACTGGTAATAGTATCATATTCCATTCAGTTGGTTTGTTGAAAGAAGGAATAGTAATTGATTTACTATTAGAGTAGATAAAAATATATGGTATTAAGTATATGTTGAACTTGGGGTAATATAAATTCATTTATATAAAACAGTATGAAATCATAATTTTTAGTGGTAATGAAATTGTGATAGGTGACTGAAATGAACCTTAATATAAGTACTTAACAATGCCCAACACAACTGTTCCTTTAACAAAGCCCATGTTTAAGTGACCTTAAGAGTGATTTGCAAAGATTATAGCTGTTTATCAGAAGAAATGATATATATTGACAGTGTATTACAAACAAATCCTTCATTCATTTCAGGAATGAAATAGGGGTTTTTAAGCTAAAGACCAAGGTGATATTAGAGCAGTCTCTAGTCTTATTCCAGGGTAGGGGAGAATGCAAATATAGCGTTGCATCTTGCATGTGAGCGCATAGATTTAAGAAGCACAGGATGACTTTGATTAACTCCCTTATATATAGTTTCCAGGACTTCTGTTTTATTTCATTTGATCCTTACAACCTCTGAAGGTAGGTGTTGTGGTTTCATGATGTGGTAAAGGTATGCCAAGTTCTATTCTTGGCTGTGTCATGACTTGGGAGTAAGTAGGACCTTTTCTTGATCTTTAGTTTTCTCATTTGTAAAGTGACAGAGTTGGACTTGATAGTCAAGATCTTTTTTTTTTTTTTTTTTTTTAAGATTTTATTTATTTATTCATGAGACACACACACACACAGAGAGAGAGAGACACACACAGGCAGAGGGAGAAGCAGGCTTCCTGTGGGTAACCCAATGCGGGACTTGATCCTGGAACCCCGGGATCATGCCCTGGCCAAATGCAGATGCTCAACCTCTGAGCCACCCAGGAGTCCCAAGATCTCATTAGTAAAATGTAAACTTGGTATAGGAAGTTTTAAGATAGAATTTGTCAAATGGTGAAGAGTAGAGTGGAAGGCAGATATTTGAGCTCTAAGGCTAACCGAATCACCTGCTATCTTTGGAAGGAATCAGAGCTCCCAAAATAGCAAACAACTTGTTTGGTGACAATTGCAAGTTGAGATTAGACTAAAATAATGAATTCCTAGGCCCATGCTTTGTTTTTATAAATAGGGAAAAGGATAGTGTATAATAGTTATATCCTGAGACTTGTATTTGGAAATAACTAATTTAATATTCAGTACTGAAACTGCTGTGTTTTGTGGAGGGTTCCAAAACCAGTGAAACCACAGCCTCTCCTGTCCATATACAGGTTGGTTGAAAGTTTGGAGAACATAGGATTTTGGATTTGTGGGAACCTGGCTTTTAAAATTGTTTGCTGTTAAATGTTGATAAAAGCTAGAGGAACAGTTCTTTCATACTCTAAAATATGGATTTTGGTTGTTCACAAGTGTCCTAGATGATTGCCTTTATTTTTGTTACATGTGTTTTAGGAGAAGCTAGGTCATCTGTTAATCACATAAGGATACAGTTTTAAAGTAGTGTGATTTTAAGAAATGTATATTTTGGATAAAGACAGATTATTACCGATAGTTGATCATTTCATAGTTTATGAAGTTGAATTGTATATTCCTCAGTTATCCATGCTTTCACAATTCAACAAGCACTGAATTTCTAGCCTCTACCAAGTTATGTGTTAACCATTGGGTGACAAGACTGGTATCCTCTTGTTCTTGGATAATCTTTTAAAGATTACCGAGCCAAGATTAACTTCTTCCTTTTGATCGTAAGTTAAGATTTTATCAGCCCCTTACCGCTATAAAACACGTTTTTTCGCAGGGAGAACGAAGTTGAAGAAGTAAAGGAAGAGGGTCCAAAAGAAATGACTTTGGATGAGTGGAAAGCTATTCAAAATAAGGATCGGGCAAAAGTAGAATTTAATATCCGAAAACCAAATGAAGGTGCTGATGGGCAGTGGAAGAAGGGATTTGTTCTTCATAAATCAAAGAGTGAAGAGGTAAAATTTGTGATGTCTGAAAATGTTCAGATGTTTATTGAATGGTATTTATACTTTTTCAAAACATGGCTAATCTGTTTATAAAGAATAAAAGCTTTACATAGGATCATTTGGGGTAGATAAGTTGTTCAAAAAGGAAATAAACTGCATTACCATATATTTCAAGAAAGGTAGTCCTTCAGTCAGTAATGTATTTAATGTGGTGGTTTTATTGTTTTTTTCTAGAAAGCAATCAGGTGTTTATCATATAGTTACTAGTGTTTTAGAAATAAGGTAGGTCTTTTCAAAGTTGTGATAATATTTTTTAAAATCTTGCCTAACTGAATTGTTGAAAGGTTTGCATTTTCCTATGGTTTAACCTAAGACCGTAGCTTCATCAGTATTCAGTTTTTCAAACTCTCTGCCTTTGTCATTTATAATGATCAAGACTCTTTAATAAATGATGCTGTACTTATTGAGGACTGATGTCTTACAAGAACCAGCAAAGTAATTTACTAATGAAAATACTTGAGAAAGGTATGTTTGTGGTTTTTGATTGGGTAACAATCCCTGGAGCATGTTATTAGAGGAAAGTCCCACTGCTACATCATTTAAGGCTTATGCAAGTAGGATATTCTAATCATAAAGTTAAATTGAAATGTTACTAAGGCAGTGTAATTAAAAGATTCAATGAGATATTGCGTCTTCATTTTCTAAACAAATAGCTGTGAAACAAACTTGGAACATTGTAAAATAAAATTAAAGTTGAGACACGGTTTAGAAATGATTTTTGATTTTTTAACAACATTGACTCCATAAAATAATATAAACAGGGATATGTTGTAAAGTGCGAAGTCGTGTCGGAAAAGACATTTTGCTTCATTTGAATGCTTTTGCTTATTTAAAAAAACTTTTTTTTTAAATAATTCTTGCAGATAAAGTTGTGTATCTGGGTTAAAGTATTCCTGATTAAAGAAACAATGAAAATTCATCTTGGGGAGATTGTTAATTTGTAGTAATGATTAAACTGCTTAGGTTAATATGGAAAAGATTTACTTAAGGTACCTTTGGCATAATTTGTAACTTTTTTGAGGTCCTGACAACTTTTCTCCAAAACAAGACACATACACAAAATACTGATAGATTTTTCTTGATTCGTTAATTACTCTGAAGTCTCTTCATGCATTTTGTAGACAACAGGTTAGGTATCATATTTTTACATTGAGCTCAGAAATAACTGTTATATATAATTAAAAAGTTTTAAAATTAAAATGTGAAATTGATTATGAATAACTGAATTAGGGTATTAATTGACAGAGCTGAAGCCAAAGCTCTTATTTCCTGATTATCATTCACTGCTCTAGAAAAAAAAACTTTGCAGATTTATCCTACTAGCTGTCTTAAAGGGATGTTCACCAACATTTAAACTTCCTCTATATTATTGTAATAAAACCATTGAGGTGTTTCAGTAGTATATCAATTAGGCTTTTTTGCTTCTGTTTCCTAGAAACTTAAATGCTTCTAATTAATGAATTGATAATATTGTTTTTGCAATAGCAAACAATTAGTATGTATAATTGACCTTGCAGGTTTTCTGGATTTACATTTAAACATTAATTTAAAATTGATAATGTGTGTGTGTGTGTGTGTGTATAAAGATCTTATTTATTTATTCATGAGACACACACAGAGGCAGAGACACAGGCAGAGGGAGAAGCAGGCCCCGTGCAGGAAGCCCATTGTGGGACTCGATCCCGGGTCTCCAGGATCAGGCCCTGAGCTGAATGTGGTGCTAAACTGCTGAGCCACCCGGGCTGCCCTAATGTTGATATTTTAAGAAGAACCGTCTACTGCCTTTAGATTGGCTTAGCACTAAGGAATGGCAATTAATTTGGATATTAGACAAAGGAGCGAAGACGCAGATATAAAATTCATTGGTACTTAGAGTGGTAAGTTTATTAACAGTTGTGGTGTTACAGGATTTAAAAAGAACAAAATGTTCATTATTCCTTCAGAAAAGGATTGTACCTGCATTTAGAAAAACTAAAACACGCTCCAAAGTAGTATAAGAAAAGTTTGGAACTAGAAGGTGAAAATTTATTCATTCCAAACATACAGGAAGAAATTAGGAATTAAGCAGTGTAAAATTGTCTGGCTTTTTTGTTTTTTTACAGAGTGGGTGGTATACCTTATATATAAATACAAAGGAGGACCTGGATTTCACAAATATGTTGACATTAAGGTTACCTGGCTATATTTATGGCTTGGATTTATTTGTGCTTATAGCTTTTCAAGGTTCCCTGATTTCACTTTTTTTTTTTTTTTAAATTTTATTTATGATAGTCACAGAGAGAGAGAGAGAGAGGCAGAGACACAGGCAGAGGGAGAAGCAGGCTCCATGCACCGGGAGCCTGATGTGGGACTCGATCCCGGATCTCCAGGATCGCGCCCTGGGCCAAAGGCAGGCGCCAAACCGCTGCGCCACCCAGGGATCCCCTGATTTCACTTTTGAGTCTGTAGTTCTGCAGTTTTCCCAAGTCAGACTTGGAAGAGTACAGAGCCAGAATTTTCTTTAAAACTCGAAAAGTGATTTAGTATTAATCACTGATACAGACCTCCCATGCAATCTATTCAAAAGTCTTCATCAGGGGTTCACATTGGAATCTAATCTGAAGGACATATTTAAAATGTACTTACTCAAACTTCACTAAAGATTATGATTTGGTAGGTTTCAAATGGGCCCTAGAGACTTGAGTGGTTGTGATTACATACCTCTGATCAAGACTTGCCAATATCACATGTAGTTTATAAAGTTAAGAGAAAAGTGAAAGGATCACAGCTGATCTCCAAGTTTACATATTATCTGTAGTGGCATTGATATTTTTTAATTATCATTTGTTGTTGTATTTGTTCACAAAGTACAGATTGGATTTTTGGTCTTTTTTTTTTTTTTTTTAAAGATTTTATTTATCCATGAGAGACACAGGCAGAGGGAGAAGCAAGCTCTTTGCAGGGAGCCTGATGTGGGACTCGATCCCGGGACCCCAAGATCACGCGCTGGGCCAAAGGCAGACACTGAACCACTGAGCCACCCAGGGAATCCCGATTCTTGGTCTTTTTAAGAGAGAGCTCAATAATTAGAAATTTGCAGTGTTGCTTTCCTGTTAATCACCCCATGACCTACTCTTAAATTTTTAGGCTCATGCTGAAGATTCGGTTATGGACCATCATTTCCGGAAGCCAGCAAATGATATAACGTCTCAGCTGGAGATCAATTTTGGAGACCTTGGCCGCCCAGGACGTGGTGGCAGGGGAGGACGAGGTGGCCGTGGGCGTGGTGGACGTCCAAACCGTGGCAGCAGAACTGACAAGGTAATTTTAAGAATTCTTTTTAAAGTAATTTGAGGACCTCTTTTGGTAAATCAGTGCCCTGGGTCCTTTTGGGGCTAGGATTAGAAGGAAGAAGTAGTTAGATACACCTTCAAGAAATTACATTTTAGGCTGTATTTTTGCTTAAAAGCACTTAAATTGACTGAATAGTGCTGCTAGTAAAGTTAAATTTTCACTTTTTTGAGTATTTGGTGCTGGTCGTGGTGTGCTAGGTATTTTATGTACTATGGCATTTCATTCTTGTTACTACATTGATATCCCCATTTTACAGAAGAGGAAATTTAGGTACAGGGAACCAAGTTAATTTGAGCTTTAGCTAAAGTCTACTTGAAATGCCAGCTACCTCCTTTGCCTTGACTCTTGGCTACATTTTTGAGTATCAGTGTAGCATTTGTGTGCATAATTGTGTGACACTAACCGGATGATTATTGACAGTTTTTCTAGATTATTATTTTTTGTTTTAGAAAAAACTAGACTGCAGTGTTGAGAGCTGGGATTCATTTTTGTCCTCTTTATTATAATTTAATGCCTCATACAGTGTATATGACAGGTTCTTAAATATTTTGATAGAAGACCTAGTGATTGATAAATTTTTACTCTGATCATTTGATGCCAAAGTATATGCTGTTAATGACTGAAATTAAAGTATGAGCAGTAACCTTTGCGTTAGGTTATTAATTCATGGTCTCTGTCTGGCTAGGAAACCAGTGACGTCCTCCTGAATTCTCAACCCCCGATATGCAAATTGGGGACCTGATTGAATCTGTCAGTGTATTATAGTGGTAGCTTAATATCATAGAATGGTCACCGGTAATAATGGAGTGATTTCTTTTTCTTCATCTGAACATTAGGCTTTTTAAAGGGTCAATGTTGTGTGTATGGATCTTTTAATACATTTTTGTTGTTACTTGTTCTTTGATTGTAAATAGCAGTTGGGTCCCTTCCTAACATTGATGAATGAATCATTATATATAATAGGTTTCTTAGGCTGCTTTCAGATTGATGCCTTTCTTATTTAGCAAGTGAGGAGAATAAAATACTAAAAAAGGATCCCCATACATACGTCATGTGAATCTACCTGTGTGATTTATTAGAAAATTAAACCCACGATGTTATTAAAGAATTTTCCTAGTTTTTTTTATTTTTTTTAAGATTTTATTTATTTATTCATGAGAGATAGAGGCAGAGACACAGGCAGAGGGAGAAGCAGGCTCCATGCAGGGAGCCTGCCCGTGGGTCTTGATCCTGGGACTCCAGGACCATGCCCTGAGCCAAAGGCAGTGCTAAACTGCTGAGCCACCCAGACCCCCCCCCCCGCCCTTTAAAAAAAAGATTTTACTTATTTATTCGAGAGAGGCAGAGACCTAGGCAGAGGAAGAAGCAGGCTCCATGTAGGGAGCCCAATGTGGGACTCCCATCCCGGGACTCCAGGATCATGCCCTGGGGTGAAAGCAGGCTCTACACCGCTGAGCCACCCAGGCATCCCGTCCTAGGTTTTGATAGACATTCAGGACAAGACTCATTGCAAATATTTATGGTCCTGATCCCTAACAGTAAAGCTTTGACACATTTTTACATAGTACTTAATGTCAAGATTTTTAGAGTTATATGCCTAAATGTAGACACTAGTAATCCAAGATTTGAGAATTGTTAATTTTGATTTGTTTCTTTTTCAGTCAAGTGCTTCTGCTCCTGATGTAGATGACCCTGAGGCATTCCCAGCTCTGGCTTAACTGGATGCCATAAGACAACCCTGGTTCCTTTGTGGACCCATCCCATCTGAGGTTTTGCATGCTTAAGGATCCCAAACGACTTAAGAATTTAAAAAAAAAAAAAAAAAAGACTGTCATTCATACCATTCACACCTAAAGACTGAATTTTATCTGTTTTGAAAATGAACTTCTCTCGCTACACAGAAGTAACAATATGGTAGTCAGTTTTGTATTTAGAAATGTATTGGTAGCAGGGATGTTTTCATAATTTTCAGAGATTATGCATTCTTCATGAATACTTTTGTATTGCTGCTTGCAAATATGCATTTCCAAACTTGAAATATAGGTGTGAACAGTGTGTACCAGTTTAAAGCTTTCACTTCATTTGTGTTTTTTAATTAAGGATTTAGATGTTCTCCCAATTACAAACTGGTTTTAAATATTGGACATAATATCAGTTTTAATACCTGCTTTGCATTTTCACACATGGTCAGCTGGGTCATGTAAACTTTGATTTGTCAAATTTTATGCTGTGTGGAATACTAATACTATATGTATTTTAACTTAGTTTTAATATTTTCATTTCTGGGGAAATCTTTTTCACTTCTCATGATAGCTGTTATATATGCTAAATCTTTATATACAGAAATATCAGTACTTGAACAAATTCAAAGCACATTGGTTTATTAACCCTTGCTCTTGCATGGTTCATTAGATTCAAATTTATAATTGACTCACAATTTCAACTATATTTACTTTTAAAATGCGTGACTTTCCCATTTTAAAAACCAGACTAGACACCTTATTGTTGAAAATTTAAGCTACTTATTGTTGATACACATCCTATCAAGTGAAGTAGTTTTATGGGTGTTGGGATTTTTTTTCCTCCAAAGGGTGGGTGGAACAAGTTGATTTGGCTACTGCATAATATTTAAACTTGTGTAAAATAAGTGTCTGGCCACTCAGTATGATTTGTGTGTGTGGAAGGTCCCAAATCAAAATTGTTCTTCCATAATCAATAACCCTTAAACCTTTCCTTTTCCTAAAGAAACCAAAGGGCACTGGTTTGTATGGTAAGATGGGGGAGTATGTTAATTTTTAGAATTTGGAAAGCAGACAGCTTTACTTTATAAGGTTGGAACAGCAGCACCATCCATGAAATATACCAAAAATTTTACTGTTTCTGAATTTCCTATATTGCTATTAATTTTGGTCTTAAGTTGATAGAAGACTGTTCCACAGAAAGTGATAAGTATCTTTGACCTCTTCCTCCATTAGAAAATTAGATTAATGAATTCCTTAAATGGGAGCATCACCACTTACTAAAGCATACATGGAGAGAATTATCAACAGATTTTTTAGGATCTTTTTTTTTTTTTACTCTTATGCCACATTTATTAGTAAACAGGAAAGGAATTTTCATGTACAGTTTTAAAGATCTTTTGTCACTCAGTATTTTCTACCTGTGTATGGTAATGTCCAGTTTTAAAATATTGAAGATCTTAAATCATAAAATGTCTGCTATTTAGCTGATTCATTCTCCCATATACTCCTAAAAGAAATTGTACAGTACAAGAGTTAATTCATTTGGATTAGATTTATAAATCTAGTTACCTGCTGGTTGGACATCTTAGGAAGGAGGTAATTGGTTTTTAATGATGGATAAACTTTTGTGCTGGTGTTTTGGATCTTATGCTGAGCATGTTCTGCACTGGTGCTAATGTCTAATATAATTTTATATTTACAAACATACCTGCTACCCAGAGGCAAGTATTAATTTAGTCCATATGGACTATTGACCCCTCTTGAGATTGCAACATACACTCCTAAATCATTGTGGTTAGACTTGCAAGTATCTTAACTTGTTTCTGGACATGTAACGTGTTTATAAGCCTCTTGATTTTTAGCAACATATAGAAAACACCTATTAAAAACACTTCACAAGTTCTACTTAGTGTCAGCCATTGCTGGCATTCTGTCTCTAGAGAATACAGCAATATCTGGTATGTTGCAAGCTTTCAAGATAGCCTCAACTTTAAAAAGTTGGTCCATTAGTTGTATCTGATGGATGTAAATTTGCCTCCTAGTTCACTTTGTGTCAAGAGCTAAAACTGTGAACCTAACTTTCTCTTATTGGTGGGTAATAACTGAAAATAAAGATTTTATTTTCATGCTCACTTCTTAAAAATCATGAAAACAATCAAATAGGAACCCATATATCGTCACGTTTTCTGACGTGTGTGTGCACTCCAAGGTAATCATATTTCACCCCCCCCCCGCCCCTTATATTTAGCGTTTGTCTGTGTGGGGTTTTTGTTAAACCAGGCCATCAGATCACATTTGGAAGGGATGATACCTACTACAATTAGAAAGTTGAATTTTTAACTTGTAAAATGAATTTCAAGGACTGACATGGCAATTGGCATTTCTTAGTAATTTACATAAGTGGTAAGGTTAATCATACTGAATGCCACTCTTTTTTAAAATAATATAATACTAAAAAAAATCCGTTAATACATATCTCTAAATAATCGTAGCTGATATAATGTTTTAGTGAACACTTATTTTTGATGCTTTTACATAGGAATAATGCCAGAGTTCATATTCATTAAGACATTTTCAGTTTGCATTGAAATGATTGGGATCTAGTTTCTCATTTAGTTGTCTTTGGAGACCTGTGTGGAATCAGGAAAGATTTTTAAATGTGCCGTAGGTATTATATATCTAGTTATTTTACTGTATTTTAAACTGGAAGCATGACACATCATCTCCATGGTTGTAAATATATTTGGGGCTTATTTCTGGGTATGGGTTTGGAGGGGGCATATTAAGTACTCTGATTTTACTATTTTTCTAATTGTTGCTAGAGGTCATTGCACTGAAAAATTTAATTGTGCCATTAGGTAGTTGCATACAAAGTCTATAATGTATTGGATATTTAAAACATATCTTTAAGAGCACTAATGTGGAAGGAACCAACAGCTACTAAAAGGTTAAAACAGAAGTGTGAAGCTTCTGGAACCTGAATGATTGTGACTTCAAGGTAAGATTAAGTCAGGTATATTAATGTCCATCTTTCCCAACTTTGAAGTAACTGGTATGCAAATTCTAGGTTTCTCAGGTACATGTAAATTATACTTCCTAAAGAAAGTAAATTAATACTTAGCTTCCAACCCATACATCCGTAATTCTGAAATTAACCTGTGTTTAGCGAGTCTAAACAGAAGCCACATCTCCAAATTAATTGGAGAAAGCCCAGAATGATTACTAGTACACTTTACAGGATATCTAGTAACAAGCTGTAAAATGATCTCTTACCAAATTTTCAGACCTAGTAATTATAGTGTACTAATTTATCAACCTGATTTGCAAGTTGTCGAAGCTGTATCATTAAGATTATATTAAGTGACAGCTTTTAGGAATTTGGGTGGTTTCTTTTTGCTCAGCCTAGGTTACCTTGGAGAGGTGTTCTCTTCACCTTGAAAATCCTACTTGATTTTTAGGTTAAATAGAGGTATGAGGACTGATTGAAGTGAGCCTGTTTCAGGGTGAGAGGAATTCATGAAATCAATATAAGGAAAGAAAAATTGTAACTAGGAGGAAAAGCTTAATTTCAGAAAATGATTAGAGTATAAAAATAAAGGTATGGAGATTCTGGCCTCAGGAAAGGAACACTGGAAATGAGTGTTTAAGTTCTAGATCCCCAAACTTCAGCCTATGGCCTGCTCTTGAACAGTTGATGAGCTAAGAATACTTTTGCATTTTTAAAGGGTTAAAAACTATTACTATACAAAGATGCATGTAGCCCACAACGCTTAAAACTAATCTGTCCTTTTACAGAAAATATTTGCTGACTCCTGATCTAAGCTATCATTCCCAGGTCAACATAAAAGTTCTTTTAAATGAAAATTTAGTTCTAGGTACAAATTAAAACATCCTACCCTATGAGAAGTTGTGAAGTTAGAAGTATGTTAAAGCAAGTTACCTCTTCTACATTCAGAATAAGGGCATGAAATCTGGTAGCCTCAAAGATGGTCTTGTTATTTTTTAAAAGATTACATAGCTTGTAACTTAAATATATTCTGAAAACTTTAAGTATAAATTTGCTCTAAGAGTAAGCTTAATGCCACAATTAGTTTAGTGTTTTATGTTTAGGGCTAGTTTTTGTCAGTGCTAAAGTCTGTTCTAATTGTTTTTTTCCCATGAGGTGAGAATTGTGAACATTTTGTATGGGTGAGAAAACAAATGTCTTTTAATTAAACTCCATAGGTTGAGCTGGGGTGTGAAATACTGGCTTCCTGACTGCATTTCTCAGCTTAGAATATTCATTTGGGCAGAATTTAGATTTTTATGCTATTGTTTACCTCATAAATAATTAGGAGTTAATTGTTCATTTTAAATGGAGGGAAAGAAAAGATGAAAAATGACCATACAAGTTAGGAAATTACCAAATTCCACTTTTGAGGTGTCAATTATGTAAGTACTTACATGTTTTAAACTAGTAACAGGGATCCCTGGGTGGCGCAGCAGTTTGGCGCCTGCCTTTGGCTCTGGGCGCGGTCCTGGAGACCCGGGATCGGGTCCCACGTCGGGCTCCCGGTGCATGGAGCCTGCTTCTCCCTCTGCCTGTGTCTCTGCGTCTCTCTCTCTGTGTGTGTGACTATCATAAATAAATAAATTAAAAAAAAATTAAACTAGTAACAATGTCCCTTTTCCTGCCTGCTTGGGTAGGATGTAGTAGTTCCTAGTGTGCTTATGTGTATGCTAAGCTTTGTGCTTGGAAGACACACAAAGTACCTGGTGATAACTAATATGTGATAATTCTGATTAAAAAATGGATTTTTTAAACCTATTTTGGATAACCGATACTAGGTGTTGAGAGAGTTCCTCTGACGTGATCTTGATAGAGCTTTTATTACAGTGTTACTGGTATGGAAATGTGGAGAGGAGAGTAAAGGGCTAGTTAATATTCGGGATTTTGATACTCGAACTGAATGGCGAAAATGGGCAGTATTGATTATATTATCTCAATTGCAGTTGTAGCTGATTATTTCTCTTAAAGATTTTAGGAATTAAAGAGTTGTCTTAATTTGAAGATGGCATTGGTGTTTACCTATCATGAAGATTTCTGTATGAGGTGGTCCACCTGAATGTGGTTTTTGACATTTGACTGCATAGTTTTGTAACCTTGGGCCTAAAATTTATTAGCTGATGAATAATGTCAAAATGTCTTGGGAACTTGAATTCCTTGTTTCACATGTTGGGTGTAATGTAATTTCCGTAGGGAAATGTTGCTTTGTTTGGCAACCACACTGTCAAACTGCTCAGACTACCAAAGGTGGTTGTGGAAATGGATGACTGAATACATCAAAGAAGATGGTAGTTCTTGCCACCCACGCATGTACCGTACCTCCCCTTCCAATTTTTAGGCTTTGGTGATTGGTGAATTGAACTAAACACAGGTACCTTTCTGTTTAGAGAGAGATGGTTTGTATGTTCCCTGGAAATCTTGAATTTCCAGTGAAGCTTCCACACTTTGTTCCAGTAAAGGAAGAAGTTTTCCAAAAACTACAGATAATTTTGTTTCAGCATGATTTTATGTACATAGTTACCAAGATTTCACTTAAGTGCTTAAGTCTAAAGAGCTGAAGAGTGAATGAGAAGAATGGACTTGTTTATTGGTCACTAGGAAGGAAATAAGCATAACTAGCAGGTATATTTTATTCATAATGGTATCCCTTGAAGATTGAGTGGTATTTAGTTACTGTATTAAGAAAATCCAGTAAATTGAAGTTTTTAACAATTAGACTGACATGTCACGCTCTTCCCCCCCTGCTCCCAACACATCTTGGGTAGAACTCTGGAAGTCGTGTTGACTGAAGTAGAGAAGGGCTTTGGATGCTGTGTAATGCCAAGTGAAATAATCTGAGAAGACATTCTCTTCAGGAGAAAATGGGCAAGATTTATTAAGAGAAAATTGCCAATATATTATTGATTGAAGAACTGAAGTAACAAGCACCTCCCAGTTACAGGAGGCTGTGGATGTTCCCCTTCTTTTCAGGATCATCAGTCTTGATACTTATTAGACTTTAAAAATAACTGCAGGTTTTTAGAGGAAAATTGAATTGATTTGAAGATTGCATCCGTAGCTGGAGAAATGACTTAATTATCCTTGCAAGTTATTTTGGTCTATTGCAAGCAGGTCAAAGTGGGTGTTTTCTAAAAACTTTGCAGCTGCTTTGAAATCTACCCTGCCATAGACCAGGAGGGATAAACTAAAGGGAGTATATAGGAATGCAAAGGAACCTAGTCATAATGAAGTTACAGTACAAGTATTAGGAGAAAAACTTTAGGAAAAGTATTTTCTGCAGGGTTGTGGAAAGATGGCAAATGATCTTTTACTCTCTGTGATGGAATAAAGTAGGATTTCTGTTTCTAAATGAGATCTTGTGACACCCTATTTTCACTTCTAGAGTTTTTGTTTGGGAAGGGTTGGGAATGGGGGTTCCTAAGGTTTCTTGGTTTAGCTGGTACAAGAAATGTGCCCTGAGCATAGGCCATACTGTCTGCTGTGATTGTCATTTTAGCAGGTGAGTTGAGATTTTCTTTTCTAAAGAACAAGTGTCTTATGTTACTGATTTTCATCTGATTTTGAAAGGATGTTTTTGTAGGGTTTTTTTTTTTAAGATTTTATTTATTTATTCATGAGAGGCAGAGACATAGAGGGAGAAGCAGGCTTGCTGCAGTTAGTCCAGTGTGGGACTCTGATCCCGGGACCCCGGGATCATGACCTGAGCCAAAGGCAGACTCTCAACCACTGAGCCACCCAGGTATCCCTGAAGTTTTTTGAACTAGTAAAAGTATCCTGCTATGCGATATTCAGGCCTTTTCAAAGACAGTTCAGGGCCTTTGAGAACAGTTTTTTTCTCTGAAAAACTCTTAATAGTTACTACAGTATTTCTCTTGGGTCCTATTGACCTATAGGTAGTCAAATATCGGACACTGACAAGGAAGGGCATTTTGAATCTCCCATAACATTGTTTTGCCTAGGGCAAGTCCAGAGTGTCTTAATAACTTTGGAAACTAAAAAGAGGCATGAATTGACATAAAGGGAACTCATGGCAGCACATGAATGGGTTTGTTGGTCTTAGAGATGTGATTGAAATCTGGGAGAACCAACTTAATGGTTTTGCTGCCGTAAATAAATGACCACTAGCTAAATGTGGAACCAATTACCACAGAATGGAGGAAGGACATTTATGTTTCAACAGTTCACATACACAACAAAATTAAGTCAAATGCAGCCCCAAGAAAGCCTTCATGTGTGAAAAATTCAATAGGTCAGTTGGCTGGGGTAATAGCTGTTTTAATTAAAGAGAAAATCCGCTGCTGTGGTTAATTTTCTATTTAAAAGGCATAATGCACTTACAGCCTTAAATACTAAATTCCTTAAAATAATGGACTTTACTGAGTGTTACTTCCTTTCTGTGGCCTACCTGTGCCTTCTATGAGAAGATTTAGATTAGCTGGGTAGATAAATTTGTAAATTCAGGGGTGCTCGATTTTTTTCTGGTCATTTAAGATTTACGAGTTTTAATTTTTTTTTAATAAATTTTTATTGATAGTCACACACAGAGAGAGAGAGAGGCAGAGACACAGGCAGAGGGAGAAGCAGGCTCCGTGCACCGGAAGCCCGACGTGGGATTCGATACCGGGTCTCCAGGATCGCGCCCTGGGCCAAAGGCAGGCGCCAAACCGCTGCGCCACCCAGGGATCCCAAGATTTATGAGTTTTAGGTTAGATTTTTCAAGAACCAATAATCATCTAGAACTTTAGAAGTATGGGAATGCACTTTTTGGCTACCTAGTAAAAATAGGCATCAAAGATTTTTATGGAATTAATAGGCACCTAGAGTCAGGACCTTGCTTGATATAATTCTAAAGGTTATGCTCTGAAACAAGACTGTCCAGTATCAGGTACCAATTGAGTTAATTTGTATCTGTTTCCCCACCTCTGTAGTGGTAAAATACCTTAACCAGAGTGAGCATTGTATTACGTCCTTCAAAACTGCATGTACTAAGGACTGTGTTAGATGTATTGATTATTATCCCTCTTTTAGACCTGGGGATTTGGGAAAAATTGGCTTGTGATATAAACTATTTCCAAGATCATTGTTTAAGTTACTACCCTAAAATTTCCAAACCCCACCCTCATTGAGTGTGTCCTTTACTTTGCCTTTATTACTCTTCTGCTATACCCTCTGACAGGAGTACTAATGGTCAGTGAACGTGCCAGACATGGTGGAGGATGAAAGTGGCATGGGCTTAAAGAAAGTGCTCAGTAGGGTCTGTCTCTAGATCTACTGTTTCAAGTCTTCGGAAAGAAATTGGTAATACTTCATATTTGTTGACTTTATCCAATTTTAAGAGTAATGTGTATTTATGAAAAAAATGCAAAAAATGTAATTTAAAAAACCTGTGGCTGGAGATAACTACTATAGCATTTGGGTGTATATTCTTCCAGGTTTTGGGGGGGGGGGTTGGCATTGGTTTATAAAAACTGATTCTATTCAACCTTTTGTAACTATTTCCATGTCAAATTTTGTTAAACTTCTAAGGAAAGATTGTATAGTATACTTGTCAGCAATTCTAAAATCCATTCCAATTTTTGGCATGTTAAAATGGTGGGGACGGGATCATCCACCATAGAAATTGACGGCATATTGACAGTTTAATTAGCAATTTTTTCTTCTCAGAACATAAAGTAATGGTGTGTCCTAAAACTGGTGGAATCTTAGATTCCATGAAATTGGGTGTTTTATTATATAGATTATGATATAATCAGGTCCTTACTGAAGGACATTTAGGGCCTCTCTCCATTTTAATCTGTGGTGTGATCAATCATTTATCCCACTTAATGATATTTATACTGTTCTTTGGTCTACAGTGCTAGGAGTGGAGTTACTTTTCAAATTTTGCTGAATATTACTGCCCAACTGCCTCCAGATAGGAGCCAGCTAACATTCCTGGTGTGAGCACCAGTTTCTCTGATTAATACTGGCTTGATTTTTCTCTTGATTTTGCTAGTTTGATAAGTGAGAAACGGTATTTAACTTTCATTTCTTTGATTACAGGTGATTTTTTTTTCATGTTTCTTGGGCAATTGAGTTTGCTCAGTCCATTTTTCTTTAGTGTATGTGTTTTGCAAACGTTTTAATTACTGGAGATTTATTCTAATTAATCTAGGTTGTGATGTAACGATCTGACTTCTTTCCACTGACAGCCAAATTGACTGAATTGCTATCTGTTATTAGTGGAAAGAAGAGACCTTTCCTCATCTCTTATTCTAGAGAAGTGATTTATTTCAGAGTTCACTTCTAAGCCTTTCATAGAGTGGATAATGTGAATGTCCAGGAGTCCTGCAGGTTAGGAAAAGAAAAGGGGTCTCTTTGGAGGGTTTAGGTGCAATATTGGAACAGATCACAACTGTATCAGATGAAGGAAAAAGCCTAGTGGAGAAAAACCAAGAATCAAACATAAAGAGATTGACTAGAATAGAATGTGCCTAGCTTGGCTTGTCTTTCACTGGCCTCAGGGCATTGGTGAGTTGCAGCTGTGGGCTATTAATGGCAGCTGAGAAATTAGGACAGAATGGAAGGGAAAAGTCAGTAAAGGGAAAGAACTAGCTAACACTAGTTTGACTTTATTGCCAAAAAGAATGGTAGAGGTCCAGGAAGTAGAATCTGACTTTTGGCAGAGGGCCCTTTCAAGGAGCAATTTAAGAGAAGGATCTCTACACAAGAATTAGTGGTGGAGATTCCCATGAATGCACTAAGAGAACTTGGACTCTATTTGTAGTAGTTAGGTCTCAGAGAATTAAGGAATTTGGTGTGTTTCAAAAGAGCAGAGATTTCTGGGTTGGCTTTGCGAATGTACAGGAGTGAGGATTAAGATCAAAGCTAATTTTCCTGAGTAGTGAAAACTGGGTATATGAATATACATGAGCCCCACCTAGTCCTGGTTAAAGGAGGCAACCTGATTTGGTATTTTGACTGCATCTGCAGGATAAGGGGATTGTGAAGACTACTACCTGGCAAGGTCAGAACAGTTACCGATCCTCTTGTTTGTGAAAAGGTTACTTTATCTGGTAGAGTGAGCAGCCAAAGGCATGCTCAAAGAGAGCTTTTTAAAATAACCACTGCTACATGTATTGTATAGCAATATCGTTAGTGAACAGTCGTGTAGAGTGTTGGGAATGAAGAACAAACACAAACTCAGTAGCCCCGGTAAAGAGGAAGCAGGCACAGCTAGACTGGCTTCTGGAATTGAAGGAACAAGGTGAAAGCAGTAGCAGGTGATGGTTCTTTTTATCGATAGCCTACTATGAACCAGGTGTGCTGGGGAAGCAAATTACCATCATTCTTGCCTTCAAGTTATTTAGTCCAGTAGAGAAAGTAAATGGTATGGACATCATAATTACGAAAGCATTGAGGGGATGAGAGCTCTGTGGTCTTAGAGGATCCTTAGAGTCAAGGAATTCTCTTTTAATTTTTTTTTTTTTTTGTATTTTTTAGGAAAACAAATGCAATATCCTCTTGGGAAAGGAAAAGTGCCTAGGGGGTAATGAGATGGGACCTGGGTGTTGGGTCCAAGCGGGGAGGGGATGAATGACTAAGAATGGGTACCAGGCAATCAGAAAATCAGAGATAGGTAAAGCAGGAATTATAAAAGAAGTTGCCTCCCATTGTCAAGAGGTGATAGGTTAACCAGCTTCTGAGGGGGTGGCCTTGTTGTATGACTCATTGTAAACAACAGGGACCACATCGTGGGTATAGACAAACCAACTCTGAAACTGCTGAGATGCAAGGAACGATGTGCAAGGGTGCTCCTCAACACCTAAATAGAATAGAGATGGAAAGAAGGATCTGCTTTTCAAAGAAAGCCTGAGGAAACTGTATTATATCTGGAATGGCAGGAAGCCTAGATAAACATGAATAAGCAAATATTCAGGAGTTCAATTTCTAGCGCTCTGAGGGACATCTGGTAAACCACTGCTGTCTTGGTGCCAGTGTTTGGGTTGGGGTCAAGGTCCGGGGCTTAACAGGGATTGAAGAAAAAGGTTCTTGGACTTTCATCTTGTTATTTTGGGAAGGGTACTATTAGCATTTTAAAAGACTTCCCTACCATCTTTGCAGAAGGGCCTGTAGTGAAGGGATAGAGGCAGTGATGGGATAGGGGAAGGGGCCACAGCTTTAAATGAGTAAAACATGTATCATGTTCCAAGTTCATGCTGGGAAAAAGAAGTATCTTCTAGGCTCAACTTCAGCTGTCTGAGGACCAGCTCAGTCTTCCTGAGGAAGGAAAACAGGATGCCTTGGAGAGAAGGGGATGACATGAGTTTAAGTAACCTTGGTGGTTTGGGTCTTAGACCCTGAGACAGCCCTGATTCTGAAGGCAACAGCTGCTGCAGCAGAAGGAAGAGGAAACAAGGTGTCAGCCTTTGGGCCACTACTTTCCAAGACACGGGATTTCAGAGAAGGGAAGCTGTTGGCCCAGGTTCTTTACAGCGGCTTTATGGTTAACTCTCCACCATCAAGCTACTCTTGATTCACTGAAATAGGGTGAAGACAAAATAAAATAGGAAAAAGGTACATTTGTGTAGGCATTTGAAGAAGTCCTGGCTATTGTGGGAGGCCTTTTATATTGGTGTTCACCAGTGTTTTTTATGTCCATCTGTAAAATTGGGTTGATGTTTTGAAAATTCATATTCTTTATAGTCATTTAGATCTGTGTTCTCCAATACAGTAGCCACTAGCCAAGTGTGACTAATTACAATCAAAATCCAATTCCTCAGTCATACTACTACACACATTACAAAGAGGTCAGTAGCCAATGTGGTTCATATCTACTGCATTGAACAGTGAAGAACTATAGAAAACATTTCTATCTTAGTCCTGTTGGGTGCTACTGACCGAGTTATATGACCTGTTATAGAGCTACTTTATGAATAGTTGTACATGAAACTGTCCCCTGGACTGTTAGTGATTGCTAGTAAGAACCTTGGTTTCTACTTTATCCTTTCCCCTTACTGGCCAACATAGCCAAGAAAGTTGTAGGAACTCAGATTGTAGACGCACATGGTGTACAGGTGACCCTTGAACAACATAGATTTGAACTGTGCGGGTCTATTTAGGTGGATTTTCTTCAGTGAATATAATAGAGTACTATACTTTCCTTATGATTTTAACATTTTCTCTAGCTTTGTTGTATGAATACAGTATATAATACATATACAAAATATGTCATCAGTAAGAGTGGTCAAAAGGCCAACAGTAGTTAATTTTTGAGGAGTCAAAAAGATATGCTGATTTAAGCCTGTGCCCCTAACCCTCACATTGTTCAAAGGTTAACTATGATCCTAAGGCTCTGGAGAAGGCAAGTTGAGGTATCTGGGCTACAGTCAATTCTCAGTCCCCAAGATTCACCCCGAGCTGCCTATCTGCCCTCTAGTTGCAAACATGCCTGATGGCAGCATCCAGAGGTGATGACTGGGGAGGTGGGACACACTGCGGGCTTCACCACTCAGAGCATGAGGGAGCTGCACCCCATCTTTAACCGATCCAGAGTCAGCTTCTTGTCACAGGAGAAGGTGAGTGGGTGAAGGGAACTTGAAGGGAAAACAGAAAGACAGATGTGCTGAGGCTCCAGTTCTTCCAGAGAGTCAGTTATAGGATCCTCATGTGAAGGGAGATACTCTATGTTAGAGGGTAAGTATCCCTCATGAGTGGGAAGGTAGTCCACTGAGAGGACTGTCAAGGGGCTGGTTAGGTGTTCTGGCTTTGAGTCAGGACCCCTGCTCCCCAGCATCTTGTACAGATCCACTAGTTGTCCTGTCTCTGCTATGAGAGCTTTTGGAGGTGGTAGGCTTGGGGCACTATATGCTGCGTCTTCCTCAGAGGTATAGTGACCTTGGACTCCTCGTCCCTTGTCTGGCCAGTTGGGGTGATGGGGATGTCTGAAGACTGGGGTCACTTGAAGGACTTCATTGATGACCAGGAGTTCAGGTTCTTCAGGATTGGACCAGTCTGTCAGGAGCCTGTCCGAGGGTAGCTGTGTCTTCTGAGAAAGGGGAAGAAGAGGCTCATACATTATGTAAGTAGCCCTTGACAACTGACTTTTCCAGGGTTCTGAAAGGCCTTGCTGCCTGCACTGCCTAGTTGGCTTGAGATGGGACACTGGACCCTTGACTTTGTGACAGGTTTGAAGCAGTTAACATTGAGGAAGACAGGAGCCATGAACTCCTCAAACCCACCACCCACCCCTCAAGCCAATGAGTGACTCACTACCCAGCTCCACCTTCAACCAGACTCTGATGAGTCCAACTGCATTAGTTCTTTATCCAGGATAGAGGGCAGGGTGGGTGCAAAGGAAGGCTGAGCTTGCTCCTGTCTGGGGGAGGCAGCAGGGAAGACTTTCAGAGTCACACTAGAGCTGAATCTTAAAAGATACTTCCCAGGTATGGAGGTAATGGGCAAGGACTGATCTGCTCTGGAACCTGCTAGTTCTTTTGATAGGCAAACTGAGGCTTTGAAAATCTGAGGTCACCTGATGAAATTTTTAAGGGTTGTTAATGAGTATGGGCTTTGATGAAAGGTTGAGGGTAATACTCTTTATCAGTTCTGCTCTTAAGAACCCAGAGTAACTTTTGGAAAAATGTTCATTCTTTTTTCCTGCGTGGCTAATTTTGTCTGTCTTCTGTCTTCTCTTTGTCAGCATCACATCAGTTATCGGCTCTTCAGTGTCCTCTCCTTTCCAAACTAACTGCGGATTCCTGAGTCCAAGCCCAAGCACTTTGATAACATTTCTCTTTCTAGGCTTTACTGGGCTCTACCTACACCCTAAAAACTATCACACTGATCATTCTAAAGCAGAGTTCCAAAGCCTTTATCAATTCAGACTCACAACTGCAGTGAAGCCTCTAGCCCTTAGTTTGGTAGTCAGGTTCCTGCACCTTCCTCTACCTCTCCAAGTTTCCATTCAGAAACGATTTCAGGTACACCTCAGTGTGCTTCCACTGCTTGCCTCCACCCTGCTCTGTTTGCTGCACCGTTTCCTGCTTGATGCTCTTCCTCCCTCATGAGGCCACGACTGATTGTTTCCTACCCTGGACTCCTACAGCAGCACAGAAACCACCATCAGGTTCTTGGCACATGATGATTTATACTGTCACTTTTTTTTTTAAACATGTTCATATACCATCTACAAATGGGGATCATTCATGAGAGAAGTAGGATGACAAAAAATACCCTTGGGACAGGGAAAACCTGAGGACTAGTCTCAACTCTGATACTCTACAGCTTGGGGAAACTCCATCAACCTCTGGCCTTTGGTTCCCTCATCTGTCAAATGCCAAGTTGTGTAAGAGTGGTTTGGTTTGGACTGGCCTCTGATGTCTGCTGCTTTCCTTGAGCACGGCAAGCATCCAACAAATGAATGGTGGTGCTGTCTCAGGACAGCCTTCTGTAAAGGACGCTGACAAACTAGAGGTAAGTGTGTGCTCTTTTCTGATCATTACCCATACTGGCCCTGGCATAGTGGTCTGGTTTGGTAGATGGCCTTCAGCTCTGGAAAGCAGAGCTAATCAAGCATTGTTACCCTAGATGTGGGAAAGACTATACAGATGCAGAAATGGTTTGTTTTTGTTTTTGTTTTCATAAGGTGAGGCATCTGCTCTGCCTTCTTGAAGGCTTTGGCAGTATCGATAGAGCCTGCTCCTCAGAGCTTGTACAAGGCAGGCCTTCTGGCTAACGAGTCCTGGGGCAAGGAGGGCCGCTGAGACCACTGTTAGTTCACGTGCCTCAGACACGGTTTGGTTTCTATAAGTTCAAAATGGAGAACACCCCAGTGATCCTCCTTTATGATTTGGCCTTTTTCTCAAGAGCTTGAAGACCTATTCTATTTTAGCCCATCTTAAAAGTGGTAAGGGGGAATCTAAGGCCTGAGAACTCAAAAGAATTCTGAGAATTTTGTTGGAGGTGAAAGAATATTGTGTTTCTAATGTCTACCTCAGCCTGTCACCAGGAGAGCAGTTTCGTTCTCTTAAAATAGTCTACCCACTTTGGGGTTCAAGTGACATGGGGTTCTGAGGCAGCCTCAAGGCCATCATCACAGATGCCATGTTTAAGCTAAATTTTATTTTCTAATTTACCGGTTATTTTTACAAGATATATATATGCACACAGCTTTGCAAAAAGAATTTAAAAGTTTGAAGAGACTTTGTAATGAAAATTAAGTGGCCCTCTTACCTCCAATCCACCACTTAAAGGCAACAAACATTATCAGTTTCATATGTAGGCTTCCAGAAATATCCTGTCCATATACTGCAGTTGTATATGTATATAAAATCGCCCTCCTCTTTACACAAATGAGAACCCATTTTAGACAACTGTTACAAACTGTTTTTTTCACCTTTAAATTATCTTAGGGATTTTTAGATGCACATAGAGATCTCTTTTTTTAGTAGTTGCACATTATTCTGTTGTATGGATGTACCCACATGTTTAATCTCCTCCTCTGGTGGCAGGTTATATTATGCCCAAATTTTTGGCTTCTACAATGAACATACTATATAGCTTTGGACACATGTATGCCAATTTCTGTTATCTTCTCCCTGTGTTACTATCTTTAACCCATTGTGGTCTTTTTCAGCATTTCTTCTAGGTTTCTATGGGCCCTTTATAGGCCCTGCATGCCTCTGTATCTCCTCATGCCCAGGCAGAGGCAAACAGAGACCATGATGCCAAAGCTGCAAGTTTGGGAGCCAGGTGTCCGGGACTGACCCAGAGAGATGCTTCCCACTGTGCTATTTCAGGCTCTTAGGACATGGGACTGTGGAATCTCAGCATTGGAAGAGAGAGATCTTAAAGCTCAGCTGATTCAGCTTCTGGTACCTGAATCCCCTCTGACACCAGCAACGGCATCCTTATCGAGTGCATGCCCATAGGTCATCAGAAGATTGCAACCAAATGCATTGCACACTTAATAGACTGTAGGGTAGTATAAACATAACTTTATACTGGGAAACCTAAAAATTCATTTGATTTTATTGCAATACTTGCTTTGCTGCCGTGGTTCAAAACCAAACCTGCAATAAATCTGAAGTATACCTGTATATATGTATATATAAACATGAATATATTAAATAATACAATTGTATCATGTATATGACATATGATGTAAAAAATATATAATTAAATATAAGGCTACTGTTGTTATTGTTCTTGCTATTGTAACTTAACAGGGAGGCAGTCCCTCAATAGTGAAAGGAGATGTCAAATGTGAGTCTTCCTGGGAAGAAAGTGAACCACCTGTGCCTTGTCCGACCCACATGCCTTACATGGCCTCTTACTTAATCCTCACAACAGTTTACACTAGAGATACTGTCAATTCCTGTTTCACAGAGGGTGAAACTGGGGCTCAGATCATCAGGCAAGTTGCCCAAGGGCCATCCGCATAGTGAGTGACAGAGGTGAAGTTTATGCCCCACCTTTCGATTTCAAAGGCACTGACACCAGTGACTCAGGTGCCCAACTGAGGCAGACCTGGCTGAAACCTGCTCTCTCCCTGAACAGTGGCTGGTACCACTGGCTTGTGGCCTGAGGAAGGGTGTGGATGAGAGGATGCACAGCGTTACTGAGGAAAAGAATCTTGGAAGAGAAGCTCTAAGGTGTGAGGAAGAGTGCAGGGCTGCCAGGGAAGAACACTGTCATACCTCCTTCCTCCACTTTGTCCCCCTGGAATGCACAGTCGTGCTCCATGTGCAGATGCCTCCAACTCCTAGACCCCTCACCCTAGATGACCATCTTGCCCACCGTGAGCTATTCTCACCTCCTCAGGCTGTGCAGCAATGACCTTCTCATCCTTTAGTCTCTGCTCTCCCATCTGCCAGCCGAGCAGCCTCTCCTTTAAAATCCTTTCCTTACACAATGGAATAATTTACTGGCTTCCTGCCAACACCAAAATAGTCTGAGCTCTATTTATCTGTTCTATGCTCAGGACAGGAAATGTCACGTTATAAAGCTCCAATTCTCTTGAATTTGGATGTCGGGCTAGTGCTCAGAAAATGGCAAAAATACTTGCTTTTTAAATTTCTTTTGAAGTAGTTGGGGTAAGGAAGGGAACATAAGGCATAAAGAGGAATGAAAAGCTATGGGTCTGTCTTTTGGTCATAGGCTTCAGAAAATTCCTGTGCATGCAAGGGGGTGACTCAGTAACCTAGCAAAGGAGGCTTCAGCTCATCCATAGGAAGTAAGTACCTAGGTCTCCTTGTAACTACAATGGGGAGTTCGCTGGAATCCTATCAACTCACCACTAAGGTCTTATCACCTTACCTCCATGATGGGGTATTTCTTGGCCCAAGTGCTGTTCGCTGGGTCTGGAATTTCTTTACTACACCACTGAGGTCTGAGGGCCGAAAGAAGAACAAATACCCTGTAGATAAAACAATGACAGCTGATTGTGTATATGGTGGCATGGAAGTGTTGGGTCTTAGCGCACTGATTTCATTGTAGAGGTGGTTCAGCATAGGGGTATGCAAATGAATAAAATAAAAATCCTGAAGGAGAAAGATGATGCATCATGTAAGGCTAGACTAGTTTTCTGTGAAGTTTGGATAGATGATAGAGTTATGATGCAGCCATTTGGGATTTGCTAAATAAACTATGAAACTTTTACTCAATGTAATGTTTAGATGTCACTATCCAGCAATGCATTCATTCCGCAAACATTGACTAAACCCCTAATCTATGATGAGTATGTGCCACATACTGGGGATGGACTAGCAAACAAGAAGACATAGTTCCTATCTGTGGAGAGCTTACTATTTAGTTTAATGTTTATAAAGAGTTTGTATTAACAGGTAAACTATTATGCTAAAGGTAAAGAAACAAACCGAAAATCCTTGTAAAGAGCAAAACAGGATACAAGGACACCTGGGTGGCTCAGTGGTTGAGCATCTGCCCTTGGCTCAGGGCGTGATCCCAGAGTCCTAGGGATCGAGTCCCGCATTGGGCTCCCTGCGAGGAGCCTGCTTCTCCCTCTGCCTGTGTCTCTGCCTCTCTGTATGTGTCTCTCGTGAATAAAAAAATAAAATCTTCAAAAAAAAATACAGGATACAAATGGCATAAGTAGCTTGAACATAACCATGTTTTAAAAGAATGCTGAGAGGGGATCCCTGGGTGGCTTAGCGGTTTGGCGCCTGCCTTTGGCCTGGGGCATGGTCCTGGAGACCCAGGATCAACTCCTGGGCAGGCTCCCTGCATGGAGCCTGTTTCTCCCTCTGCCTCTCTCTCTCTCTCCTCTCTCTCTCTCATGAATAAATAAATAAATAAACAAATCTTTTTAAAAAATAAAAGAATGCTGAGAAAAAAACAACAAAGGAAAATAATTCAAACTGTTAACTGTAGTTGTATTTGATGATCAGAAGAAACACTGGTCTTTTTTTTCCTTTATCATTTCTGGGTTTTTGAAAATATTTTAAAATGTGTTTGTATTACTGGAAGGAAAAAAGTCCTAAAAATGTCTCTTATAAGTGCATGTGACTTAAATGTTTTGATTATTTATAAAAAAAACTCAAAACTAGTAAATATTTTTGAAGAATTTGCTTTAATAAGCTTTGATGTTTAATAAGAATGGAAGGCTTCCAGGATGTTCAACCCTTTGAAGGAAGAGATGTGCCCATGTGACTAGTTTTTCTCCAAACGAATGTGAGCAGATCATGCAGATGAGGACAATGCCCAAGGAATGGAAGAAATGCCAGTAAAGTGGAAGAAAACTAGGTCCCTAATGACTGTGTGGAGCACAGCTGCCAACCAACCTGGATGACTTACCTCAGGACTACTCTATGGGAGAGAAATAAACTATCATAAAAGCCATATATATCTGGGGACTTTTTTTTTAAACAAAAAAGCCTTCACCCTAACTGATAATATTTCCCTGAAGAGGATAAATGTGATCCTACTTGACTATTTGAATTAAACTTTTTCAAAGTCTACCTAAAGAGAGGTCTGCTTTGAAATATCTTTCACATAGAGAGCTCCAATTCATGTAAAGCCTTTTAGACAAGTTCAATGACTAGTAGGATGACTCTGAGCTAGTTTTATTTTGGCCTCTTCTCTTACTTTACACAACACGATGAAAACTCTGTGTTGAATAACTCATTATAAAATTCTCTTTATAAAATAATACCTGTTTAAAGAAATTGTAGAAAATTAGTTAAATAGAACTAAAATCACCTCTTATTCTATCCCCTGATATAACCACCATTATTATAACCACTCTCTTCCTCAGGAAGAGGACCCTGATTTACTGGGATGACAATCAGCCAAATATAAGACCACAATTTTAAGTCTCCCTTGCCTTGCCAAGTTCTGGCCAATGAGGTGTGACCCAAAATGTCATGTCTGACTTCTTCATGTAAAGGCTCTTGAACAGGGAGGTGTGGGCACCTTCCTTCCTTCTCTCTGTAGTTGTAGAATGCAGGTATGATGGCTATAGTTCCTGCAGTCATTGGACCAAGTGAGCTTGAGGATGGAAGCTAAAAGAGGATATTGGCACAAAAAGATAGAAGGAGCCTAGATCCCTGACCATAGACCTACTACACCAGTCTTCAGCCTCAGTTTACTTCCTTGACTTGGATGAGAAACTGTCAGCTAGTTCAAGTTATATTATTTTGGCTTTTTATGTTATATAGAGCCAAATTTAATGCTAAGATACATCTTGCATATGAGGGTGTTTATATGTACTTTTTAAAAAGAGAAAGTTTGTACCTCTTTGTAACATTTTTAAAATGTAATATTGCAAATAGAATACCATTTAATTTTCTTCTGCCTCTTTAATGGATATAATATGCCATACAGCATGAGATATATTTTGATGCCTTCAGCTCAAGGCATGATCCCGGGGTTCCGGGATCAAGTCCCGCATCAGGGTCCCCTCAGGAACCCTGTTTCTCCCTCTGCCTATATTTCTGCCTCTCTCTGTGTGTATCTTTCATGAATAAATAAAATCTTTAAGAAAACAAAAAAGGACTGAATAAGGAAAAAATATTTTTTAAAAATTATCATATACTGTTGTCCAAGAAAGTTGAATAAATTTAGTCTGCTACCAGCAATGTTTGAGGAAGCCCATTTCTTTGACACATAATGGCAACAGCTATTACCGTTTAAAAAAAGTAAATTTACTGAAATTGGAAAAAGTAACCAACTCACTTTTGCCGGAAGAAACGCATTGAGAAAATGCCCACTATGACGACAGCAACGCAAATGCTTGGTGCCAGAAACACACTCCAATTGGCTTTACCTGAAAAGTTAGCAAACCCTGTGACTGAGTTATCTGCAATGAATATCTAAAAATACCATTGTGTGAACCCTCTGGCACCTGCCCACAGCAACTAGGTAGCTGGGCTCAGGAATGAGGCCAACTTGTTTTTGTCCCTTCAGTTCCAGGGAAAGGGCCCTAAGGGGGCCAGCCCTACAAGGGCTCTGTCCTCCAACAAAGGCAAAAGGAGAAGGGGGTGTGGTATACAAAGCACTGGCTGTGAACTGGGAGCCCTGAATTCTAGTCCTGGTTTTGCCACTGACTGCTATGTGATCAGTGGACTTCAGATTCTTGATCTATAAAAGAGGAACGATGACGTCTACCTTGCAGGTTGTTGTGAAGAGTAGAGATGGTGTATATAAAGCATGTGGTGATGTATCGGAACATAGAGAGCCCTTGAGAAATGGTAATACTGATTTTCCCAAACCACTGGATAAGCCTTCTGTCTAACTAGGGTCTTTGAAATTGTTCTGATTCCTTGCTATGAATAAGTGTTTTGCTCTGCATCAGGATTCTTCACTAATTCATCCATTTATTGAGTTATTAATGTATCAGGCCCTTGTAGGAGCTGGGATACAAAGATGAAAGGACATGGGCTCTGCTGTCTTGGACTAGTCATGAAGCTAGTCCAGGAGACAGATGTGTAAACATGTAAGCCATGATGCCATGGGATACACATTTAAAAAAGGCATGTACAAGGCAGTGTAGCTGGGACCAGCATGGGAAATGACATCAAAGGCAACCCAGGATGTTCTCCCAAAGGCATGTCAAAACTCACAGATTTGAAGGATGGAGCTAGCAAAGCAGACAAATTTAGATGAAGCGGACTACACAGAACAAGGCAAAGGCACAGAGAGAGCAAACAGGGCGGCACTTTCAGGGGACTACAGGTAGTCTGGTCTTGCTTTCGAGTATGAATGATGAACCTGTGGCAGAGGATGAAGCTAGATGAGTGATCAGGAGCAGATCATGCAGGGTTTGAGAACGGAGCAGTTTGAATTCCAGCTTGAAGGCCTTTGGGGAACCACGGATGAGTTGCCACAGGAGGTGGAATGCCAGCAGGGATCAAGGTGTCTTGCAGAAAGATTCTTCTGATAGTGTCAGGATAGGTGCAGGTGGAGGGAGGAGAGTGAGCAGGGAGGGACAAGAAGCCACAGACCTGCCAGCCCCCGTGAGAAATGTGTCACCAGGGCTGAACAGGGGAGTTGACGCAGGCAGCTTTGCTACCACCTGGCACAAACTGACATTTCTTTAGCATCTGCCTTCCTTCCTGGGCAGATGGGACAAGTCTGGAGTACTACAAACAGGAAGATGCGGAGTTGTTAATCCAATTGCTTGCCCACAAGTTAACTTTCATGGGAGTACTAGGGGATGAGAAGAGGGCTTGCCAGCTTTCCCAGTGGAGAAGTACCTGGCATAGAACAACAAAGTCCTGGATGATCAACTTGATACTCCATGTTGCAAAGCAAGAATAGCTTGTTTCATGCTTGGAGCAGATGCAGACAGGTGCTGCCAGAGAACACAGCACCATTTAAGCAATGGAGGGAAGCCCATGTTAGCTAGTCACTTCTTTATATACTCCAATTTAACTGAAGTCACTATGATCTGAGTTTGATTTGTAGTTTTGCCACTTACCACTTCTATGACTTTGGGTAATCTTTCTGTACCTTCTGGACCTTATTATAAAAGTTATCTGAATCCCTTTTTATTCCTTTATTCATCTTGAATTGAGTGCCTGGTACTGTGCCCAGGTAAATCATGTAAAGCAAGGACTTCGTGTGGCTATGGTCAAGGATTAAATGAGTAAAAGTAGTGTTATGCAGGTTGAATTGTGTCCTCCCACCCCCAAAAATCCATATTGAAATTCTAACTTCCAGTACCTCAGAAAGTAACCATTATTTGGAAATAGAATCATTGCAGATGTAATTAGTTAAGACTGGGTCAGACTGGATAGGGTGACCCTACTCCAGTATGACTGGTGTCCTTATTAAAAGACAGGAGATTTGAATGGAGACACACACAAGGAGAACTCCATGTGAAGATGAAGGCAGAGATCTATAAGCCAAGGAACACCAAAGACTGTCACTAGACTTGAGGAGGAGAAACAGGGAACTGATGCTCTCATAGGTCTCAGAAGAAACCAACTCTGCTGATACCTTGAACTCGAGACTTCCACTTCCCACAACTGTGAGAAAATAATTTTCTGTTGTTTGTGGCACGTTGTTACAAGAGCCCCAGCAAACTAATGCAGTATGCAAAGCACTTAAAGACTGGTGCATGGTATATGTAATAGCTGCTATTATTATTGTTGAGATTATTTTCATTGGTCATTTGAACAGAGATTTAGTGAACAAGTACTATGTGCTGGGTACCATACTAGACCTTGAAGATAAACAGGTAACAGTTTCTGCCTATTGGATTCAGAGTTTTGTTTTTGTTTTTGTTTCTTTTTAAAGATTTATTTATTTGAGAGAGAAAGAACGGAAGTGAGCACATGCGGGAGAAGGAGAAGCAGGCTCCCTGCTCAGATGCAGGCCTCAATCCCAGGACCCTGAGATCATGACCTGAGCTGAAGGCAGATGCTTAACCGACTGAGAAACCCACATGCCCCAGGATTCAGAGTTTTTAATAGGGGTCAAATGTAGTGCATTATGAAGGAATTATGGAGGTGCATTTGGGAAGGCTTCCTGTAGGAGGAAACATTTAGGCTGAGTTTTGAAAAATAAGTAGGTACTATCCTCAAGGAGACATGAAGTGATAGGATACTCCAGTTAAAGGAAACAGCAAGTGCAAAGGTGTAGCAGCAAGAAAAGTAGCTAATGAATTACAGAACATTTGATCATCTCCATGCCAGACACAGTGGGAATGTAGGCCTATGTACGAATCCAGGATGGACGCACCATCTTTAAAGTTGTTTCTTACCTGGCAGACAAAATTCCCTCTTGTTTCCTGGGGGGCTTTCACCAGCAGCTGTCAGAGCTGTCATCCACAGGACATATGTCACTCTGGGCTGCAGGTTGTCTATTGAATGTGAATTTGGTGATACTCTATAGGGAATTTCTGAAAGGAGGATAAAGATAAAAAAGAAGAAAGGCATCTATTAGAAGTATTTGAATGTATGATTTTACTTATTTTTGTTCTTGTTGTTAATCCTGTAATTAATTTGAAAGAGAAAGGCACACTGCTGTTTTAAAACAGTCCTGATTCATTAGTACATACTTTACTAGGCCCTAGACAATGTCATTTATGGTGGTCCCACTTGACAGCATACTAAAATAATTAAATGTATTTCCTGTGGTAAAATCTTTTGAAAGAACTTTTATTATTCTGCTTTAAAAAATAAAGATTTTATTTATTTGGGAGAGAGAGAACATGTCCAGGAGTATAAGTTGGGGGAAGGGGCAGAGGGAGGTGGAGAAGCAGACTCCTCACTGAGCAGGGAGCCCAATGTGGGGCTCAATCCTAGGACTCCAGGACTGCAGCCTGAGCCAAAGGCAGACGCTTAACTGACTGAACTACCCAGGCGCCCCTATCTTTCTGCTTTTGAAATTATGTAGCTGTAGTAACTCCTTTTATTTTCTATGACTATAATGTTTCCAACATTTTTAGATATAGTTGAGAACTCTTGGGGAAGAAGTCAAATACAAGTTGTTTTCAATGGAATTTTTAAGCAAGCTAAGTTTAGCAGTTAATGAAATAGACATTTAAGTAACATTAATTTTGATTTTCTGCTTTTTTTGGGTAGGTTCTGGATACAAGTCTTAATGGGTTTAATATGATGATCTGCTTTAATTTGACATAAAATCTAAAAATAGGAGCAATGGTACCTAGATTGGATTTACTTGGCTGTTTAAGCCTAGATTATCAGAGTCTTTTGCTCTTGACACTCCTGGGGAGTCTCAGCAGGGAAGATTTGGGGTTTTTTGAGCAATGCACTGATGTTGTTTTCCTCCTCCATTAGTACAGAGGCATTCTTCTCTAGTGATCTGCTGGGTGTGAGCTTTGGAGTGACTTCTCAAAAGCTGGGGATGCAGGGGCAGGGTACTACAAGATCCACAGCAGAACTCTGGCAGGAGTAGCCTGCTGGCTCCCTCAGCAGACACGCCTGTGCTGGTGATCAAAGTAGAAACTGGGACCCAGCACTTTGAACCTCAACATCAGTTACTAGCTCACAAACCTCAGGGCAGGTCAGACAGCGCTTTTGTTCGCTATATTTATTTTAACAGCCACAAATATTTATTGAGCTTGTGCTCTGGACAAGTCACCAAGTATATAAAGGCACAGAATCTGCCTCACAAAGTTCACCATCTAGTGGGGAAAACAGACCCCTCATACTTCCACACCCAGGCTTACTATGGATAAGCAGCGAGGAGTCCTGTAATATCATGGCCTCTCCACCCAAAGGGACTGAGGCCTGAGCAGATCACTTAACAGCTGTGACTATCAGAGCAATTTCTATATTCAACATCCTATTGAGAAAATGTGCCATGTGGAAAATTGCAAGCTGACTTTAACCTGATGAAAGTGCTTGCACAGACTTAAGTGGTTTGATTAAACTCAAAATCTCTTTCTTTATTTCTAAGGCAGGAGATTATAAAATTAATTTTGGAGAGACCTTCTACTCATCTTGCTGCAGCGAAGCATCAGTGAGCATCAGAGTCAACTGTCCAACTGTGTGAAGGCATCCTTAGCTCTGAGAGTGAAATGAGACTTTAGAAATGAGACTTTAGACTTTAGAAGGGATTTGAATTGTTCGCTGGGCCAAAGAAATTTATATGCAAACAAACACATACACATATGTATATTTGAAGATCAAAAATAGTAACTCTGTGGAGGGAGCAGTCAGGCAGGTGATGGCGCCAGCAGTTTGGCTAGCAAAATAGGTTGCGTTGAGTAATGGGAGAAGGCGTGCCAGAAATACTGGTTCTGCTGCTTGGTCTGGACAGAGATCAAGGGGGGCATTCAGTCCGTGGGGGTCTGAAACTTTAGGCTCAGGGTGGTGAAACAAGGAAGTACCAGTTTAGGAAGATGGGATAGCTGCCAATCATTTGAAAGGCTGCAGGTCGGAAGGTCAAGGGCTACCAGACAAAACAGCTGAAATTACTGGGAACTAGTTAAAACCTAACAATCCACATTGGTTTAACAAAGTGTAGGGCAATATTCCCTCATGTGTTAGTCAACAAATACCGTTTTTATTAAGCACCTCCTGTATTCCTGGCTGTATTGTAAGTATGGGGAGATACCTTCTGCCTTCATGATGCTTAGAGTCTGTTGACAAAGACAGCCAAGTGGTAACAAAACACAATGTGTGTGACAGTAGAGAAATGCACTCCTGGTGCACATGGCAGAGGAGTGGCTGTCCACCAGAATCACCTGTGCAAGGTACTAAACGGCAGACACCCCACTCTAGCTGTACGCCGCCTTTCTGTACAGGCAGGACTAAGTGCGCCCACTGCACTCCCCATGGGCCATTAGTGCTGCTGCCTGCTGGACAGAGGACACAGAGAACAGGACCCCTCCTTCCTTGGCACTCCGTCCTCTTCCATTTGCAATGCTTCTCTCCGCTGTCTCTTTCCCTTGTCTTCAACCTAATGCCCTACCACTCTCTAAAAACTGTACTTGTGGATTTGTCAATGATTTCTGGTTGCCAAATACAATAGGTTGTTGTCAGTCCCTGAGTAAAGTGGCTGTATCACTTCCACGTACTTTCCCATCTTCCTCGGTAGACTGAGAGCTCTCTGAAGATGGGGGACAGGTCTAATTCATCAAGTGTTTACTGAGTAAAAGGAAAACTTAATTTAAATTGGTGTGAAATAGGACTTTGAATCTGCACCTTCCTTCAATGTATTTTAAAATGCTCTTACATAGGGGGTGCCTGGCTGGCTCAGTCCATGAAAGGTGTGACTCTTGATCTTGTGGTTTGAGTTGAGTGTAGAGATTACTAAAAAAATAAATAAAACTTAAAATGCCCTTACATAGACTTTAGATGATCATATTTGTGATAAAATAAGGTAGAGGTTTTCTTCAATATATATAAGATCAGCTTTAAGAACCAAATGGCCATGTTGATTGTAAATAGGCATCATGGTTTAAATTCTGCTAAAATGACAATAGGAGGGTGGGGGAGAAGAAGCAAATTTCACACGGAGAATTCCAAAAGGCCCACAAAGAGGTCAATGAAGTCATCAGGTTCTGGGGCGCATTTCAGAACTGACTTACCTTGACAGGCCCAGTAGGAAGCAGTTCTGTTCAATGATATGTTCTATTTATCGATGGCAGATTAGTGAAGAGACTGATTGCAAGGACTTATGATAGAATTCTATAGAGCTGTTTTAAAAAATGATGTAAATCCATATGGAATGATGTGAACTGATGTATTATTGAGAGGTAGGAGCAAGGTGGAGCTCAGAATACAGATGATTATCCCAAATATATGCTTGTATGTACATTAAGTTTTTTCCTGGAAGACATGTGAAGAACTGCTATTGCTTAAAATGGAGAAAGAGATAATTTCCATTGTAAATCTCTCTGAACTATTTGAATATTTGTTACCATGTGCAGGTGTTATTTATATAATAAAAATTAACTAGAATTAAAAGTCATAACTTTCAGAATAGCAATAATGAAGATCTTCTAAGGTCAAGAGAAAGGACCATCCTGTAAAGTCTCCCAGGTAAAAGTTGCTCTTGCAGGCAGCTCTCTGGCACCCACATCTCAGGGTGGCTTTGTTGCATTCTTCCTGGACCTAACAGCTCTCATGAAGGGATAAAAATATTGCTTCTTCATGATAAATGCTCCTGAAAGAAAGCCAGTTGTTTATGAAATAAAAAGAAGGTCAATCCAGGAAAAAAACAAAAACAAAAATCATGATTCTGAATAAATCAAAGATTAGAACATCAAATCTGGCAAATGACTAGGAGCTGCTACATAAATGAGAGATGAAATCATTTGGGATAATGTTCTAGCCAGAATTTAATTGCTTTCATTTTATAGTTATAGAATAATTATGGGTCATAAGTTACTTAAACTGTATTGTATTTTACCCATTTTAAGGAGAAAATAATATGCTCTGATAGTATTTATAGATGTGGGAGTTCAAAATTTCTCTAAACTCATCCCTTGCAAACCTCAGGGGTATATATAATAGTACTGAAGTGCTATTACTGCTTTCTGAAATGCCATGTGCCCACGTGAGCGGCTCCTGAGAGCCTAGACCATTATCTTCATTTCTTCAATTTGCTTTGCACAAATCATACTCAGTAACTCTGTGTGTGTGTTTAGATATCTTGTATTTTTCTTTCTTTTTTTTGTATTTTTCTTCATTCAATTAATTTCACAAATATTTATTGAGCACCTACTGTGTGCCACTCACTGTGCTAGCACCTGTGTGTATGTATGTGCATGGACATACTTATGGTTCCCCAACAGCTAAGTAAGAAAGATCCCACTGCATTTGTTTCTCACACATACCACAAAGTTGAGGCTGGGAATTGGAGTCCTGTTCCTTCCAATATATCCTGTAATGGAGGATGCAGCCCATTTGTTCTTGGGCTGGAATTTCGTTCCATGAAATTAACACGCTCCCCTTTTCCTCTGAGATGGCATTAATGTAGGGGCCCCTCCGTGGTGCTGCAAAGTAGAACACAGGAGGCTTTTGTCATCCTCCAAATCCAAACTGTTGAACTAAAGCAAAATTTGACAAAAGGTCCCAAGACTCACCTTTGTGCTTAGAGTTACCCCAGGTGGAGCTACATCCTCTCTGGTCCCCTGACAGTGCATACACATTGATTTCATAACAACTGTAGGGTTTTATGTTCTCTGCAAGGAAAAGGGAGTTCTTATAACAGGTTTGGCATCACATGTGAGTCACTAAAGGGAGACATTTAAATGTCTGATATGGATGCATTCAAGGCATTTCTTTGCTCTCCTTAGTTTGAAGACAGCTCAAGTACAGTCTGGAATGAGGGTGAAGGGATGACCTAAGTCACGAGATCTCAGCATCCTGTTTGCCATGTTGGGCTTCTGGAAGCCACTGTTCCCACCTCCCAAGTTTGCCTCATGGTGAAGAGACAGGCAAATCTGAAGTTTCTTTCCAGGGTCATCATGATTAAGGAGACAAAGCTGTTCCATTTCCAACAAAGACTTAAATATAACCATAGAGACTGCTTTTGAAACACAACTCACTTTCAAGAAAAAAACCACTGACTTCTACAAACAAATCATTTGCTCTTTACAGAGAAGTATGGCTGGTGTTTTGCAGGCATAGAACCTGGACAGATCTTCTAACTCCACTGGTGCTTATCGGGATCTGTAACAGCAGGGTGATACATTCAGGTGTGACTTAACCAGGGCACGCTCAGCTCAGCGCAATCCAACCTCTCTTTCTGCCCCTCCTTCCTCATGTTCCCCTCCATGCTCGTCAGATTTCACTTGCTTCACAGCGTGGAGATGAGGAGAATACCTGGGAATGGTAATGCGACTCCCTAGCTTTTAAAACGCCACATTTTGCTCTCTTTTGTCAGTCATGAAGTTTTTTGGTAATTGGATCTTTCCTATCAAAACTCCTTACTTGCATGAATTTCAGATTCTACTTCCTGTAAAGAAAAGGGCCTTCTCATAGATACTGTGACATGTCTTTAAATTCCCAAGGAAATTTAAAGGGAAAAGAGAAAGAATCCCTATGAGGCAACTATAGGATCACATGGTCAGAGTAAGGCCTCCCTCCCATAGTGTTTAACACCCAGCCACAGGCAGATCTGGTCCCCTCCACTGACAATTGATTAGGGTTTAACATTTTATTTTTGAGGGAGAGGAATTTTATATCACAGAATAATTTACTAAATAATGTGTATTTTCTATGAAAATCCATTGTCTCTTAAATATTCCAGTAAATGGCATAGGAAAAGAATGTTAGAGTTCAAAGCCAATAGCCAAGAAAGAATTCTTGAAATGTCTTTGGTGCAAAAAAGTGATTTTATTAAAGCACGGGGACAGGACCCATGGGCAGAAAGAGCTGTGCCAGGGTCATGAGGAGTGGCCCATTATATGCTTTCAAGTTGGGAGGGAGTTAGGGAGAGCGTAAGACTCTGAGGAATTTTGGAAACAGGGTTTCCAGGACTATGAGGGGGTACCTATTGTTAGGAAAAGGTCATTTATTACCGTCTAATAAAACCTGATGTATATCGGTGGGTCACATGCTTGGGGGATGATTGCCAACACTTTATCTCTTCAAGTTCAGAGATAAAGGAAATTTCTAAAGGAATTTTTATATGTTAAAGTAGATTTACAGGATCCTTGGGGTTGGGCTAAGATTGATTTTAGCCCTTGACAAACAAAGTGTTAACATCAAGGCAGTTGAGTCCCTAAAGGAATGTCACTCTGTCTGTTTCAAGGACTTGTCAGTGGGCTGTAGGCAGTGAGGAAATTTAATAACTTTACTTCTGCCTTTGTTTCCCACATCAGCAAGTACCTTACATAAAGCTCAGCTGTGCAACCAGTACTGTCAGAAGAGACCATGAGGAGATCCAAACTCACACTGTGGTGAGTTCCTATTTGTATTCATGAATCAAGTGTTATGGACAAAAGGACACAGTCAGTTTAGTCCAGTCATCCAAAGATTCTTTGTAGTGGCATGCAGACCTAGAAGCCAAAAGGGCAACACGGAATATGGAATCATATTTCATTTGGGAGAGAGTAGGGTCTGGCTGCTACCTCTAGTCCTGGAAGCAGCTGACCAACTACCATGCTGTGTATAGGTGTGGGAATTCCAGATAAGCTCATTAGGCAAATGCTATCATTGCATTTTGCCATGCAAAATATGAGTTCAGGGTGGAGGCCTTGGGACTGCTATATCAGAAGCTGTGGGATTCTTCTTGTGAACAGCCTACCCTTAGTGGAGGAGGGAAGAAAGTGTGGCACCATAACCTAGCTGACACGTCCCTTTGCAAGAAGAGAGAGACCTAACAAACTTGTTCCCTGGTTCTGACCATAAGGACTCCTGTTTTATTGGCTAATTCTTACACAAACACACCCTAATCATATCTAATTCCTCACCTCAAAAATTCCTTAGCTTTGCTGTCCACTGCACAACATGCACATTCCTAAGATTTTCATTTCTTTCTACAGTCTGGCCCCAACTTCCAGGCTCATTTCCCACTACTTTTGTGCATATACATATACCTGGCACCCTTGGGCAAAGGCTCTGACCTTATATTTATAAACCAACCCTTTGGTGGATTTTTTGCAGAAAGCTGTTTTCATCTATTAAGTATGGGAGAAGACAAACAATAAATGATCAATAATGAGGAGAGATTCTAGAGGAAGTACAGTGAGAGAATGCAGAAGAGGGACCCAAAGAACCAAGGCATTGGGGAAGGCATTTCTAGACACCTACAGATTTCTACATACTAAAAGGAGTGGCTCTAAATGGTTGGAATCATTTTTACCTAAATAAGACAGTACTGATGGTCTTTAGCCTAGACCCACCAAACTATAAGCAGGAGTTGAATTATATTCTGGCCTCCTGAATATACTCCAAAACACCCAACTCTGCCCCAGCCAGGTTCTAGGAAATGACTTAAAAAGATTTGATAGCAATGAGTTACGTCACTTACTGGAGAGCACCATATTGAATTTGTAAGTATGGATTACCTAATTTTTTAAGTGTTTTTTTTCCCCCGGAGTATAACATCAACACTAATAGCTAACCAAGTGTCTTTAAGCAGGGGAACAGCTTTAATAGTTATTTTACCCCAGTATTATACTGATTTCATTCAAATGAGTATCCCTAAAGTACTTAAAAATATTTTAGTTCCCTAAATATGCAAAACATCTCTCTCGTCATCTCTTTTATGGTATTTGGATAGTGTTAAAGAATTTCTAAAAGGAGGAAAGTATAGGGATCACTGGGTCCAAACTATCCCAGAGAGGTAAATCCTAGTGTAGTTTATAATAAGTGTTACAATTTTGTAGCAGTTTAGAGTTCAGTAAATGCCTTTTCTACCCACTGTTTCATTTGATTTGATGGGCATAACAGCCCTAAAGGGAAATTGGTTCTACTGCAACAATTCTAGGGACAGGGAATGCACTACCTTGAGGACCAATCGATTGTCCTATTGCAGACTATCACATGTAAGGAAAATTGAGCTGAATCTGCCTTATAATTTCCATGTAGAGGACTTAGTTTTGTTCCCCACAGTAACAAAGGACACATACCCTTTCTCACATATACATCAAAGCCAGCAACAGCCATTAAACTGCCCACCCACATCTAGAATTCTCTTCTACAGGCTAAATGGTTCCCACATTATTATGGAGCCCAGCATGGAGCCCAGTGTAGAGCTTGAACTCAATGACCCTGAGATTAAGACCTGACATGAGATCAAGAGTCAGATGCTTAACCATCTGAGCCATCCAGCACCCCTAAATGGTTTCAATTCCAATTAAAAGTTCCAGACCCCAAATGACTTGTTCATCTTTTCTGATGTTCACTGGGTTATCTAGACGACATTATCTTTAAGTGTAGTGATTACAACTGAATGCAATCCACTAGAAGTTTGAGCAGCTAAACTATAAAAGAGACCCACAGTTTAGGACTAGATCGCATATTGCCATATAGTATGTATGCTTATTTAATTTGTCTTGTCTCCATCCTCTTGGACAGGTGTAATGATTGCCATGGTGTAATAAAAATATAGAATTTAGAGTCTGAAATCCTGTGAGAAGCTTAGCCATGTCACATATAATAACAGTAACAGCTAAATTATCAAGTACTTATACTGTGTTTTCTCTACATTAATTCAGTTAGTCCTCACAATAACCCAGTGAGGTAGGTATTATTCCCCCCCCTTTTACAGATAAGGAAACTGAGGCAGTAAGAAGTTAAATAATTTGCCCGAGGTTACACAACCTAGTAAGTGGCAGAGCCAGGACTTAAACCCAGAAGGTCTGGCTGCAGAACCTGCGCTTTCTACTATGCTGAACTTATTCTAAAAGTGACATTGACTAAGTTCTGTCCAATCATTTTAATATCTTTTCAGATGCTTTCTATCACTTGATAGAAACCTCTGACAGATTTAGATTTGAGGCCTGAGATGCCAATTATTCTATAGATAATTCTGGATTTATTATCACACAAACAATATGCAGCAGAACTAGGAATGAAAGATCTCCTGGTCTTCTCATCTGTATAATGGGTATAATCAAACACTCGCTACACAGGATTGTTCTGAGAATGACCTACAATCCCAAGTGAAAGATGCCCATCACACTGACTGGTTACTACTTAGCTTTTAGCCATGCTTGTTGGATTTAATGATGCATTTGTCTTATATGGCTCTGTGACAGGCACTTGACTTTTCTAGAGTTTTTAGTCAATCAGTTGGTCTTCTATGGCTGCAGTGGTGTATTCTGAGGATCTGTCCTGAAGAACACTACGTCATCACTGTCCCTCTTACACAGTTTCCTATAATTGAAGAAGGTTCTGGGTTCCCACCTGTGACTTCTTAAAAAAATAAAAGTGAACTTAGTAACTCCCCAAAACGAAGGTGAACAATTAAATACCTGAAATCAGAGCAGACATGTTGTAGGGGGTACTCCGCAGCCAGTTTAGAGGGGGCATGTCACCCCTGGGATGGAGCTCCCTCCATTCCACCACATACTCCTGGACAGCAGGAGCAGCTTTCCCGGGATGCTCCCACGTCACCATAATGTCGTCCACACCCTTCGAGTTTGCAGAGACCTGGCGAGGAGCCAGCAACCCTTTTTGAAGAAAAAGGGGGAAGCACAAAAACAAACTCACAGATGGAAAAGATGTAAAAAACAATTCATCCCAGCAAAGTTTTAGGAAGAACCAATTTCCTGTTAAGAATTTCAGATTTGTTCTTAATTAGTGTAAGGACCCGTGTAAGGTTAGTTGTAGAGTTATTTTCCCCTGCACCTTCCACTTCTGTGTCCCCAAAGGTACCTGCTTTATTGATACATGCATCCTTCTAATCCACCTCCCACATGTTTATTTAGGTATTTGTGTATCCTTGAAAGTTAATGTCGCTTTGTGCTTGTGTTTTGTATTTTCATGAAATGTGCTGAGAGTAAATTTAATGCTTTTTCTTACTTTTTCCTTCCTACTCAATATTATATTTCTGGAATATGTCCATCCTTCTGCTATATGTAAATCCAGCTCGTTCCCTCCAACTGCTACCTCAAACATTTTCTGTCCAGTCCCAACTGATGATCAGGAGGTTCTTTCCAACTCTTTGCTAACATAAACAAAGATGCAATGAACATTCTCTTGCATGTCCTCAACTGTACTTGTGCAAGAGTGTTTCTGAATATATCTGTACAGAGCTGCTCAATTATAGAATCAGTCCACATATTATTTCATTAAACACAGCCAGAGTGATCTCTAAAGTGGCCAATCAGTTGATATTCCAACTTGGTATCCTCTTCAAATTTTGGCCAACCTGGTACCTGCAAAGTGGCATTTAACTGTGGTTTTATTTTTATTGTCTGATTTATTTATTTATTTTTAAAGATTTTATTTATTTATTCATGAGAGACACACAGAGAGGCAGAGACATAGACAGAGGGAGAAGCAGACTCCTTGCAAGGAGCCGGATCAGGACTCAATCCCTGATCCCGGGATCACACCCTGAGCTGAAGGCAGATGCCCAACTGCTGAGCCACCCAGGCGTCTCTGATTTATTTATTTTTAATAAATTGCTTTTAAATTTCTTATGAAGCTGAGCTTTTCTTTATGTATTATTAGCTATCTGACTTCCCCCTTTGTAAAATCCCTGCTGACATTCTTAACTCATTTTTTGTCTTTTCTCTGATTTACAAAAATAGGCTTTATACTCTAGATATCATTTGTAGTTTTCAACACTAGAAATACTATACTCCAGTCTTTCAACCCTCTGATAACTTCATGATGTGTTTGCTGCACATAATTATTCACTTTGACATATGTAAACTTATTTATCTGTGGCTTGTGCATTTTGAGTCTTGTTTTTGAAATTCTTCCATCCTGGGATCACAAAGATACTCAATTACATGTTCTCCTATTGGCTTTTGGTTTTACCTTCCCCAGTTAAGTTTTTTTAAAGATTTTATTTATTTATTCATGAAAGACACACACACACACAGAGGCAGAGACACAGGGAGAGGGAGAAGCAGGCTCCATGCAGAGAGCCTGACGTGGAACTCAATCCCAGATCTCCCGGATCATGCCCTGGGCCAAAAGCAGGTGCTAAAACACCGAGCCACCCAGGAATCCCCTTAATTTTTTAAAAAAAGATTTTATTTATTTATTCATGAGAGAGACAGAAGCAGAGACACGGGCAGAAGGGAAGCAGGCTACCTGAAAGGAGCCTGATGTGGGACTCGATCCCAGACCCCGGGATCACGCCCTGAGCCAAACGCAGATGCTCAACTGCTGAGCCACCCAGACATCCCCCCAGTTAAGTTTTTAATCCAAATCTTGCTAAAAGGCTTTTTAAAAGGTAATAGATTTTATTCTTTTTTCCATATTGTGAGTCAATTTTTCCAAATGTGATACTATCCCTACCATATACCAAGTTCCACTTATTCATGGGCTTGTGTCTGGAGTCACCTTCTTTGCCAGAACACACTGCTCTCATTAGGCCTTGTGATGTCTAATTATGTGGTTGGTAAATCCCCTCCTCATTCTGTCCTTCATTTTTCAAAGTGGTCCTGGATATTCATGACACATTTTTATTCCATATAGCTTTTAGAATCAGTTTATCAGAATCTTTGCTCTCAGCCCCCCTCCAACAGTTAGGTATCAGGGCTTCTTTGAAGTTACTGTGTTCTGCTCTCTGGACTTCCCTGCTCCATTGTAGAAATGTCCAAGCAATGTTTATATCAGGGCAACAAGAGCAAGGAGGAGGACTAAAACCAGAAAGTGCTACCTCAGTGCTCCCCCTTATCACTATTCACCACTGCACTCAGCCATCTATCCTGTCCCTCCTGTGGCATCCTCAGAACTGTGCTTGGTTGGTGGTGAGAACCTATAACCTGTGTACTGTCTATTTTGCCAGGGAATGGAATTCCCTAGTAGGGGTTCCCTTACATTCATTTATCTTGGAATTGTATGTCCTGGCTATGCCATAAGATTTTTTTTTTTGAGAATGAAATGCATTCATTAAGTAAATATTTATTGAGCACCTATAGGTTCCAGTACACTTTGCCAGGTGATGGACTAAAATAGCCAAAGAACCCTTCTGACCACTGCTTTCTCTGGAAAGAGAAATTAGCCAAGCAAATCAACTTGGCATTGCCCTGCCTGAGTCATCAGTCATCATATTTACCAGGAACCAGCCTGAATTTTCAAGGCACATACTCTCCTTTAGAACTCTGCTAACAACTCACCTTATTTCTATCACCTTTGAAAATTATTTCTTTAGCTCAATCATTCCCATCTCCTTTTTCCCTGAGAGCCTCTGAGCAGAGTTATGAAATTCATAAGGTATTTAGAATAAGTGCCCACCTAAGAGACAGGTGGCTTGGTTTTTCAGTCCAGCTCTGCCACTAATTGGATGTGTGGTCTTGTCTAGGTTATTTCACCTCCTGAGGCCTCAGTCTCTGACATCTGTGTGGGTCTCTGTTTATGATTGTTTTGGCTTCTGACTCTCCGTGTGGTTTCAAGAATTCTTGAGCACAGGGACTGGTCTGAAATATTAAATATGTTTTTACTTGTTGACCGATGGGTTTAGCACACATTCAATTTTCACTGTAAATCAACAAACTCATTCTTATGTTTCTTTATAGGCAATGTTGTGGCAGGTGCTTTTTACGACAAAGTTGTCCCTACTTCCTCAAAATCAACATAATTCTGCCCCCCCAGGGGTGGAGGGAGGTGCTATTTTTCCTTCCTAAAAGGAAAGCTATATATGTGAGTAGTGTGAATATACTCAAAGAGACAAAGACAAAATCATGGTATGCTATTCCTACAGATCATTCAGAATATGGGTGAGACAAGAGTACTCAAGGATGGGACTGTGTAATTTGCCAATGTGTCCTCCATGTCACTCTGGGATACAAAGAGTATTGGGTAGTTGTATTGGGTGGTTCAGATGTGGTCTTAGAAGAGACAACAGACCCTTGATATTCCAAGATTTCCAGGACCAGGACCCTCTTAGTTACAGCTCAGTTCAAGTACTGTCCTGTCTTACCTCCTCTGCATGTTCATTCTTATTGAGTCTTATCCTTATGCAACACCTGTCCAATCTGGGAAGAACAGGTTTCCTCTTTCTTTGCCATTGGTTTCCATCATCTTCCCACTCCCCATGGACCTCATTCCATGAGGTCCTCATTCCACTAACTAGCCCTCTGTCCCCTTTATCTCTAAATTCTTCCCTACCCAATTCTTTTCCTCAACTTCCATGCTTGCTCAGATCTCACTTTAAAGCAAACCCTCATGCCCACATATCTCCACTCCCTCACCTGGCTCCCACCAACTTGTCTCTCCATACCCCAGTCACATATTGCCTCCTCCCTAGCATCCTTCAAGCCCATGCTTCATCTTTTGTCTGTTCCTAGAATTACCTGGGCATCCCTCTAATCTCACACTTATACTGCACCACAGTTTACTCATTTATGTCTGTCCCTCTCATGTAACTAAATATAACTGGAGGACCTCAACAGTATTTCTAACCTATTGCTGGATGCTAGCTGCCTTATGTAGTATATGCTCAGTAAATAACTGTTGAATGAATAAAGAAGCGGCTAGCTCTAACAAAATGAATGTGTCATTTTAAGAAGTTGTTACCAAATCCAAATAAAGCACCTGGAACAGACTCAGAAAAGTCATAAAGTTTATAGTTTCAAGACCCATCTGCAGTGACATGTGAAGAAGTAAGGTATTCTGAAATACTACATTTTAACAATAGCTGGATACTAAATAGTGGTAAGAGTTCAATTTCCTCCACAGAATTCACTTTAAAAACTATATATGCAGAACTTAGCCACAGAAGAAAAATTATAAAAATATAAAGCACAAAAGGGAAGGAAAATCACTTGTAATCCCATGATGCAGTCATGGTCTCTATTAACATTTCTCCATACATTCTACTAGATTTTTTATCAGGCAAAAAATGGGTACTCATTTAAATACATATTTTAAACAGCATCATCCCATATATACTATTGAAAGCCTATCTTTTCACTTATTATGTACATCACTCCTTGTCAATAAAAGCATAGCTACAACATGGCTTTAATGCTAGTGTGCGGTTAAGGCAGGTGAGAGTCATGATATATTAAACCAGTCTCTCTATTATTTTACATTTAGGTTGTTCATAGTGTTTCACTATTTCAAAAATTTTCCACGATCATCTTTGCGCCTACACTTCTAAGCACTTACATTTACTGAGGATACATTCATAATGATAAAATTTTTGGTCAAAGATACATTAGTATTTAAAGTTTGTTACATATGGCCAAATCGTCTCCAGAAAGTTATACCAATTTACATACCCACCAGCAGGGTACATACAGCATATCTTTTCCCTACACACCCACATGGGTTATACTAATTCTACTTACTCTTTCTCAGTCTGATTTGGTTTCTCATGTTTTCTCAAGATTTGCATCTGACTGATTGCTAGTTAGGCTACGCATATTTTCATATCTTTATTGCTACTCGTCTATTTAGTTTTTGAGCTGCCTGTTGATGGCTCCAATCTCTTATTTATTTGAAAAAGTAGATAGATAATCCATCTCCTTTGGCCAAAAAATGTGACATATACTTTTCTTAAATTGCTATTTACACTTCTAAAGCTTTGTTTATGGTGTTTTTAAAATTTTTATTTAACTATGCATAGAGTTTGAGCTTTCTCCGCACCCCCCCAACTAATTCATCTTTTCACGTTTCTGCCCTACATACCTACCAACAATAGGCAGAAATTACCAGTTGCCTACCAAACATTTTGTCCTTTTTTAGCAAGGGAACATTGCTGCCTGAAATATATTTCTAAGCCTCCTTTGCAGCTAGGTGTGACCAGATGACCAGTTAGAGACAATGACCATAAATGTGTTGTGTGACCCGGAGCAAAGCTCCTCAAGGGTGAGGGGTGGGCCCTTCTCTCCTCCTTTTCCTAGAAGGAAGTAGATAGAGCTCTGGCAGCCATCTTAGACCATTTCCATCTTGAGGATAGAAGCCAATTTGGCAGAGGAAACAGAAAGGAGTTTGGAATCCTAATGATGTCACCAAGCTGTCACACCAGCCCTGAACTGTATACCTCTGGACTTCTTTTATGTGAGAGAATTAATAAGCCACTGTAGTCAGGCCTCTAGTAAGAGCAACCCTTACTCCTAAGAGCAATTCCTAACTCATATACCAATTAGAAGTTACATTAATATTTACTTGTACTTTCTTTTAGTTATTTCTTATCTACTCTATCATCTCTATGTTTATGGAATATATGACTGAAAAGATATATAACTAGAATTTAACAGTGTATATAAAATAATCATATTTGGGTAGAAGCTTCTTTCAGATGATGATTGCTAGGCTCATATGTAGATAAAATGTTCCACTGAATTTTAAAAAAGGATTTAATTATAGTTTTATTAGATATTTTTGGAAAAGTTAGGCCAATGATCTTGACATTGAGAAACAGCATTTATATCCATTTTATTGACTAATCATAGGCTTTTATCTTGAAAAATGAGTTTTCTAAGCATGCAACTCTAAAATGTGTATCACTAGCTGGGAGATTTCAATGTAGATAATTTGATAAATGTCTACATTTGTGTAATAAAGTGCTGTAGTATAGAAAATTTTTACTGCAGTTTCATTATAGCCAGAATTTCATTTTAGTATTATTGGTTTTAAAATATGTTTTGCTGTGGAAGGAGCCTTGGTGTCCATTGAAAGATGAATGGATAAAGAAGATGTGGTCTATGTATACAATGGAATATTACTCAGCCATTAGAAATGACAAATACCCACCATTTGCTTCGACATGGATGGAACTGGAGGGTATTATTCTGAGTGAAATAAGTCAATCAGAGAAGAACAAACATTTTATGGTCTCATTCATTTGGGGAATATAAAAAATAGTGAAAGGGAATAAAGGGGAAAGGAGAGAAAATGAGTGGGAAATATCAGAAAGGGAGACAGAAGATGAGAGACTCCTAACTCTGGGAAACAAACAAGGAAGGGGTGGTAGAAAGGGAGGTGGGTGGGGGGTGGGGTGACTGGGTGATGGGCACTGAGGGGGGCACTTGATGGGGTGAGCACTGGGTGTGATTCTATATGTTGGCAAATTAAACACCAGTAAAAAATAAATTAAAAAAATAAAATAAAATAAAATATGTTTTGACTATAAGAGCAGAATGTTTCCTAGATCTTGACATCACATAGTAGTCTTACATCTAGAAAAATTAGCTAGACATTAGTGTTCAATTTAATGTAACTAACATTTTCTTAATAACATTTTTAAGCACCTGCTATGTTAGTCTCTGTATTTAATCTCACAATGATCTGCAAGACAGATGATATCATTCCTACTTTAGAGAGGGAGAAATTGAAGCTCAGAGGTGTTAATTCACTTGTCTAAGGCCACTCATACTCTAAGTGCAAAAGAATTCCTGTAGGCTGTCAGCTCCAAAGTTGAAACTCCTGTGCTATTTATGCCAGGCCCTAAGCTGAGCCTGTGGGAGATGAGAGATAAGTAAGAAACAGTTTCCCATAGGTAATATGAAAGGAAAGTTGGTACTTACCTGCCCCACACAGGTCCGTTATGTTAAGATAAGTAGGCAGGGTACTGCCTTTTGAGTTAGCTGCAGACACAGTCACAACCCAATTCCCAGTTCTGGGAATGACCCAGGTCCAGGAGGTGTGTTCTGTGATGTTCTGTAGTGTGACTTTCACCATTGCCACCTCCTGCAAGGTCACTCGATAGTGGAGGATTTTTCCTCTTGCCTCGGACATACTCATATTCTGCAACAAAACATATCCACTTACTTGTGTACTCCCAGACAAGGTCACTGGATGCTTTGTGGCTGAACCTGATGGCCTCCACAACAGGAGGTTACATATGAGTGACCTTTTTATTTACATCTTATCATCTTCTCCACTGCGTATCTCTACATCTCCACCCAAACCCACCATTTAGGGGGAAAAGTAAATTTATATTTTTAAAAGCTAATTCTTTTTAAAAAAAAATTTTTTTTATTTATTTATGATAGTCAGAGAGAGAGAGAGGCAGAGACATAGGCAGAGGGAGAAGCAGGCTCCATGCACCGGGAGCCTGACATGGGATTCGATCCCGGGTCTCCAGGATCGCGCCCTGGGCCAAAGGCAGGCGCTAAACCGCTGCGCCACCCAGGGATCCCTGAAAGCTAATTCTTAAAAACACATTGAGTTTCTTTTCTTGCTTTAAAATGAAACTTCCTAATAGTAGAAAACTCAAATACATCCAATGGAACAAGAGTAGAATCTGAATTCCAATGATCTGGGTTTCAGTTCCATCTATACTAATCATCACTAGCTGTGTGATCCAGAGCAAGGTACTCAGCCCCTCTGAATCTCCATTTTTAAATCTGTGAAACACACACACACACACACACACACACAACTTTTTATATAGAAAGTGTAATGCTGCTCATTAAATCAAAAATGAGATTTTCAAGAGCTAAACTAGTAAAATTCACACTTAGTGAGCTGGATTAACCATCTGTGCTAGGAAAGTAAGACACTGTTTATAAATGTGTGGCTAATGAGTTTTGAAATTGCAAAAATTCCAATTGAGATCATTTGGGAGCAATCCCAGAAAGTAAGCAGAAAACTAATTATTTGTATTATAACCCTGTTTGGATAAGGACCATGGGAAACAGAAGCAATGAATATGAAGAGCTGCCAAGCGCAGCGCGGGCAGTGCCTATCCATGCTTAGTGCATGGAGAGAGAGGTTGAGTTCACTAGACTTAAGCATGATGGTTTTCTTGGCAAGGCTATTCCTTCTATGGGTTCAGGTGCTAAAAGACACATATTAGGACTGGCAAATGCCCTTTTCTCTGGTTCCTACCCCTTAAGCATTCTTTTAATAATTTGGTTTCCTGTGTATTTATCTGTCAGGAGAGGCTGGGGTAACATGAACATCTGGTTCACTTAAAATTTGTATTTTTCACTTTAAGTGAATAAATTGGCCTACTGATGATAATTTGGCTTCTGAAATAATTAGCATGCTGTGAAAGAATGTTCCTATCTGCTGACTCAAGCCTTCTGGGTAGCCCAACAGCTGCATTCCTCATTGTAAATTAATCCATGAACATCTAGCTTTTTATATTTCAGTCTCTGGGAACTTGATTAAAGCAGGTCCTACCCTGGGTGCCCTTTTGGATCCTCAAAGTCCGGGACTGGATCTTAAACCATGGTCAATGCACTGGGTGAATGTCATGTTGCTGAGAGCTCTTTTGGGTGCACTTTCAGCCTTTCCCTAGAAGACATCTTTGTCTTCTGGCAGGAACCAAGAAAGTTAGCATTTTCATTGTCCATCACAGTCAATCTTGTAGGCCTGTTGTGTGGATTAAAGTAAGTGACTGCTTTTGAAATTGTGATGTTCTGAACTGTTATTAATAAACAAGTCCTTTGTCACAGGAGAAAAGCAGGATAAATTAAAGCAAAAGCTGGCTGGAGAAGACCATTCCCTTAACTCTCTATCCTTCCCTGTCTCCTCTGTAGGTTTAGAGGTAGGACTATTATTTCACCTCCACATCATGCACCCTTCCCTAAGGCACTCCTCAAGAGTTAACTAAGCTCACAAAGTTCCTCAGTCTTGTCAGGAACCCAAGGGGCTTCAGTCTTACTCTGACAACTGAAGACCAGAGCTCTAATTGAAAAATAACACCTTGTAAATCAGCTCTTACTACCTTCCTTTCATTGTCCATCATAGACATCTCAGCAATCTCATTTAATCCTATGGTAGAGCACTGAAAGAAGAGGGAAATGTCAAATCATCTTACAGGAAGATTCAATGAACTTGCCTCATGACTGCTGTGGAAATCTAACTGAGGTCCATGCACTACACACTACAGTCATCTTGTAAAGAAAGATGTGGATCTGAAAGATGAGTAAAGGTTCCTAGAGGGTAGTGAAGGGCCTGGGCCTAAACCCTTACATCTCCCCTTCGATATCCCATATTTTAGAGTTGAAAATCTCATTGAGAAGGTAATGGTGGAGTTAAGGTAGTTAGAGAAATAAATATGGTATCCCATGAATTATGCTTGTATAAAATATCAGGCTCAAGTTTTGGGATAAACATTAACATCTCTCAGGCAATTGGTCTCTTTCACCAATTTGAAAATGGGCCTCACTTGTCCAACATGGCCCATGGAATAAAAAACCTAATAAGACAATAGGGAAGTAGGTATTTATCCAGCTGGCATGTAGTCTCCTGAAGCAACTGAAAAGTTTAATTTGGTTTTAAAAAAACAGCAATATAAAGTTTCCAAATAATGCATATATCTGGATTATATTTGGCCCTGATGTAATGGAATATCATCACAAAACTACAGAACCAGGAAGGATTAATAATTAATTCAACATTTCATTCTATCAATAGGAAATAAGTCCAGGACATGAAATGACATACTTAAGGCCACTCAAGGAATATATGGAGGAGCTGAGAGTGGAATCCAGGGCTCCTGACTTTTAGACTAGCAATCTCTCTCCTCTGATGTGCTACTCCTTATGTTGGTAAGCCTGAGACAATGAACTGGTCACCACAGGACACTATGTTTCATGCTGGAATCCCCAGTTACCCTTCTGGCCCAAAGTTGGAAAGCAGCTTGTCTAATTGTGAGGTTGTGGTACATTTTAATGTGGAGCATCAACAGAAGACATCAGGTCAGCAATTTTGGGACGGTGGAGATCCAGAATTCTTTGTTCCCAGAATCAACAGGCCTTGGGTTGAATCACAGGCTGTGAACCCAAAACTATCACCTGAAGACCCAGCTGGGTCTTTTCAGATGAACTTACGTTTGCTCTAATGTTTACATATTTGGGTGGGAGATAGGGAGAAACTATCATTTATTGGAACATATCATGAGTCAGAAGCTTTATATCTATTGTCGCATTTAGTCCTCATATCTCCTTGACCTGAGGGAGCTTGGAGAGGTTAAGAAACTGACTCAAGTAATCCCCACAGAAAAGTAAGGTGAGATCTTAGTGTGCCCCCTGGTGGGCATGAGAGGAAGGCAATGTCCGGGATGTGTGTGGTGTCCTGGTACTTCTTGTACCTTTATGGGCAGTGCTGAAAGGGGTGTCAAGCCAGTGTTCCTGTCATTGTCACCCTCTCCTACTGGTAAGAGTGTGCTAAACAGGAAAAGCTGTCTTATTGCCTCCTTCAGTTTCTTTTTTCCTCTGTGTGTGAGAAATGATCTAAACTTAATAAACTTAGCTTTTCTGACTTAGGTTTATGAGAGAAGCGGGAATGTAGCCTGCTGCCTTATAAAACTATTGTGAGAGTTCTAGTGGCTGAAAAGGCTTTCAGCACCAAAAATTACCTGGTGAATATATCCATGACAGGACAAAAGTCTGGTCCATCTTAGAATGCAAGACCTCTGTGTTTTGTTTTTAAGATTTTATTTTATTTTTTTAGGTAATCTTAGACCCAATATGGGGCTCAGACTCACAAGTCTGAGATCAAGAGTCTCATGCTCCACCAACCAAGTCAGCCTGACACCCCTGTTTTGTTTTTAAGTATATGGGAAGAAGGGTGTTTCTGTGAATTGACAAATAATTTCTTCTTAGGACTTAAAGAAAAAGCTACTGTACTTGTCATAAAGTGATATTTTATTCTGAACTCCCCCTGATGCAAACAAGCAAACACACACCGTATGTCAGAGCTAAGCCTACATCAAATAAAAGAAGTTATAATCAAGACCTCTTCGAAAGCTGGGGAATTCGAATATGTCACAGACTTTTGGGGGGATGAGGTTAGTTTTTATTATTAGAGCAGATCCTTTGCTTTCCTGCTCCACCACATAGTAGCTCTGTGACTTTGGGCAAATTATTTTACTTCTCTGAGGCTCAATTTACTTATCTGTAAAATGAGATAATTCTATGTACGGCATAGACTTACAGGAAGATACAATGGGTTGAGGGAGGCAACGGTTTCAACGAGTACTTGGGATATGGTAGATGTCAGACACTTGATGAGTTTCCTGCTCTCTGTTACTCAAATATAAAAATCTTCATAGTTAGCACTTTTCCCATTGTATTCATATGACTTTTCTACCAGTGTATGGAAAGACAGGCCATCTTGACTTGGCTCCCACCATGGGTCTGTATGGAAGTCTCACCAATGTCATACAGTTGATTACAAAGGACATATAATTTGTGAGGTAAGCCTAGGTACCTTGATTTCAGAACTCATGATTGCTTTCAGCAACCCCAGTCCAAAGTGAGGGAGAAACTCAAAAGACAAGCTCATCTGGAAGTTTTAAAAATCGCTGTATTGAAATGATCCATCTGTGGAACCCACTTGTCTATCAACCCATCTTTGTGTCTCAGCGTCCTGTACAATGTTTGCCTCCTAGTGACTCAGCCAACACTTTTCATGATTCTCTCATTAATCTTTGCAACAACCTCAGGTGGTGTACGCTATTACTATCTGCACTTTATTTGTAAGGAAAGGAAGGCACAGAGAGGATAAGCACCTTGCTTAAGAACACACAGCCAGTAAGTGGTGAAGCTGCAACTTGAACCCAAGTAGCACAGCTCTACCTAGAGGATGAACTCTGAATTTCAGCTGTGTTAGTGCTCAGTAGATACCTGCAGTTGTTTTGCTACCCTGAACTTATTTAATTGATACTAATACCTCATGTTAGTTATCCTGACATAATGATTTCTACCTTACTTTGCAGCAGAAAAACAGCAAAAAAATAGAAAATTTGTTAGAGCAAAACTTGAACCCCTTCCATCTGTTTTCTATCTTGT